AACACAGTAGTATCGTATATATCGTTATGTTCTGTTAGTTTCATTGTATAGCAGTGCTAAATTTCTGTTCACAGCTGACACTTACAATTTTTTTAACGATGTTTTCGAAATTGGTCTTGACAGCTTTGCAAGCACCGCCATGCTGCCAAGGTGCCAAGTAGCTCGAAATATTCTTCAATACACCTAAATTTACAGACAATTTACAACAACTTCTACAATAACAAAACACGAAATGGTTTGTCTTGTAGCAATTTGCAAAAACAATATAGATCGCGCATAAAAATGTTTAAGTAATTATCGACTGCCTGGAAGGTAATATAAACTTCTTACCGGTCGCTCACATGCCAGCTACCTGTCCAGCGACCTTTATGCAGCGAAATACGTATACTATTCAGGACATCGCGACTTTTACTCTTGCTATCGTCACTTACCCTAACTGCACTCATCGTCCCATTTTCGACGGAGCAACCCCCGCAATACAAACCGGAGGCGTGTATCCTCCCAACAAGAAGCCTTCGCCTGAGCCATGGCTTCATTGCTGCTCGCAGCCGCCTGTAAAGGCAGCAGAGAACAAAAAGTAGTTAACTTTTTGTGCGGCATTATGCATTAATCTCAATAAAAAAAAAAAAAACTGCCTTTAGTTCTTATTCAGCGTTCGTTGTTTGTCGGCGAGTTTCCAGTCATCGCCGCTTTCGCCGTTCTCATTCGTCGGTGGCAGCTATAGGGATAGAGTGTGCAAGGCGGTGCCCGGCAAGCTCGTGCAAAAAGGAAGTCACGCCCTGGGGCGAACTTCCCTGGCTGCCCTTCACCTCCTGCACCCTTAGCGGCGGAGTCTATCCTGCTGCTGTTCCTGGAGCTCATCGAATCGACTCGTGGCTTTACTGTCAACAGGTGTTGCCCGCTCCCGTCAGTTCGGATACCAAGAAACTATTTCTTGCTGTGCAATTTATAATTACGGTGGCTGTTGTCACACCGTCGCCGCCATCAGCCACTGCTAGAAATTCAGCTCGGAGTATAACATCGTTTTTGCCACTGCTAAGTAACGCCTGACCTTCCCATAGTGTACCTATGTCCAACCGCACTTAAGCACGTAAACGGCAGGCAACAACACGAGAGCGCTTTCATTCGTATCCTAGATACTTAAAGATAACGTAGCCCTTATATCTGCTACTTCACTAATGTAAAATTAATGCGTGGCGTTACGTGAGTGTAAATACGTATATGTATATACGTATTCACACTCACGCGAGTTAACCGCACACGGTCACGCAGTTTCACTGGTGTTGTTTATAGAAGTTGTCGCGAGAAAAGAAATATGGGTGTTGATAGATTGGTCGTAACGCCCGGCTTGGAGAGGTGGAAGACAATTGGGTGTTGTCATTAATTTTGTGGGTTTATGCGTATTTACGTAACTTTTTTGCGCCGCAATACGACTGCTCCACGATAGCCCATATAGTACAAATGCCACATGACAGACACTTTTACTGGTAGGCTTGTCACATGTTTCGAGACCAAAGGGAAACAGGATTTTATCTGTATAGGATTTTCAGGACGCTCAGTAGATTCTACGTATTGTTGCCATGATTCAATTTCATCCTAGACACTTTTTACTACACAATAAAAATTGATCTAACGCGTGTAAATAAGGTCACTAACAAGGAGGCCTATTTGTAGTTCACGTAGAGGAATATGGGTAGTTGTTTTAAAGGTGACATGGAGGTCCTTCCAGCCGTTTGGGTGTACCAATTGAAACTGTACTGCTGTCCTAAGTACATTTATAGCTTATACGAACTTTTCGACTTATTTCGTAGATACAACATTTTAATTCAGTGCAATTTCAGGAAATGTTTGGATATCCCCTTATTTGATGCTGCACAGAGGGTAAAGGAAGTTGCGACTCTATTGTTCGAAATTGATTTGGTTTCCTTAGTCTTCAGCCTACACCCCCAGGGTAATTTCAATCGAGCCTTAGTTGGTATGTAAAAATTTCACTCTCCGTTTGTTGAGGGCCTTCAATGTTAATTTGTCATTTCATTTCCACATGCTTTTATCTATTTTCATTTTATACGATTGAGTCTGTTCCTAATCTGGAATCGGGTACAAACTTAGATCATGTCACGTGTGATTCTGTAATATTACCTAACTTTACGTGTCAGGGCCGCCGAAAAGCGTTATCAAAATTCAGTTTGTATGCGTGCCTTAAAGGGGTGCTGTATTTAATTACGAGAGGCATACCGAGAGCTATTTTCCCTTGCGATCTATTAGGGTTTAGATGTGAAGCTCACTTGCTTGTTCGCGAACAGGCGAATCCGCACTCTCACAATTCAGGGTATATAATAATATTTACTAAACCGCTATCCCCTTTGTTACTCCTTCTGAGGCCTGGAACTGTTTCCATGTTTGACGAGCATGTTCGATACGAGCGGAATGAACTGGTAAATGAGACTTGTATAAGTGGAGCATTTGTAATGAAAGCAGCTATGGTATATTTACTTAGACATTGATTGCTAAATCTCTAGCTACTGTACCTGATAAAGTAGAGCATTAGATATCTCTACGAGCACCATATCAAAACCCCACGCCCTTTATGAAAATAGAATTCCCACAAAGACAAGGCCTATTGCGTGCGCATCTAGAAGGTTGTTGGAACGTCGAGTTGGACGTAGACGTACACGACAGACTTGCTCCTAGATAATTTTGTCTCAATATTGCACAGATTAAGAAAAATTATATCGCTCCGGATTTGCATGTCGACGAAAAGTTAAGTAGATCAAGATCTACCTTTTTCAATATTATGAAAAGGTTGATTTACTGAAGGAGTCACCTGGTTAATGCAACGAATTTGTGGCCCCATTGCACAGCCAAGCGGCGCCTATTAGAAAACTTCTAGCTAACGCGGGCCGATTTTCAGATTAAAAGGCGTATAGCATATGCCTGCGTACTTTACTTTTATATAATCTTTTGGTTTGAAGGTGTCACAAGGGCCGTGGGAAGCCACGTCAATCGTTCATTGGTATGGCCGAGGCGTGAAATACTGAAATAGGTTCTAAAAATGATTTCAGTTATGTCCTGTCCAAGGTAGATAAGTCTGTCATTTCTGTCATAGTTACGTCTTTAGTATATAATTGCAAGTTGCTGATATTGCAAGTAGTTCTTTTCGACTACTTTCAAATGCCATCAGATAAGTTCTCTCTATAAAGATTTCGGTCAGTAGTTTCTACAAGCCCTGAATCGACGCTCTAGGATGGCATATAAGGACCTAAACAAAAATACGCAGATTTAATCTTACTTAAAAGGATAAAATTCAGTGTTGATTCCGCAAATTTGGATTGACCGAAATAGCTCATAATGACAAAACAGAGATAACTTAAAAAAAAGTAAAGGTCTTTACGTCGTTGCCGATCACTTTGTCGACGTTGTCAGGGCCTTTGACTGATTGTAACTTACTACATTGTCAACATTTTTTTTTGGCCAGATAGCAGTTTTTGCCGATGTTTTTCATATTACTTACATAATAAAATCAAGCTAGTACGAATATAAAACGTTTTCTTTACAACGTCACTTCTTTTGAAGGGCTTCTCTATTCTATTTGATTCACTAACGTTATTTTGTGTCCTTTTCATAGTAGCTCTTCTTTGTGCTGTTTGCGTTGGATATTTTCCCATTTATTCTAAGTGAACAAGGGCCTAAATACGATGGCAATTGCCCGAATTAATAACAGCTTACATAGATACTTCTTTTGCTCCCACTGACCGTAAATATATATATCTAAATCTGTTATCTCCAAGTCAGCTCAGTCAAACGTCCGTATCGATGGTGATAAAATGGTGTTTTGGTTCTTGCAGCGGTTGCTTTAGCTCTACTGCTATAGAAAAATATCATATGACAATATGTGCTCGCTTAGACGACATCCAAGACAAGGGCGCTAGTTGGATATTTACTCCATTGGCAAGGTTAGTGATTCTTTGTCTATTTCTACGTGCGTTTGTGGCGTCTTTATTGAACCTCCGTGGAGTTACTGCATTGCCCAATATTGACACAAAAAAAATTACATAGGAGCGCTAAATTGGTCAAAGATTTCCTCTTATAGTAAAACTCTGCCTGTTCAGGTTCCGGATAATAACCAGTGTTTTAAAATGGTAGCGTGGAAAATTGTCGGTAAGCTCTATCATCAACTGGTGCTTCAACTTTATATCGAACGAAAACCCTAATTATTACTAACGACAGAACTCCGTTTAACCAACCTCGCTTAAAACAGGCGGTTACCATAACATGGAACTTTTCCCCCAATCACTTGGGAATTAGGACAATCTCGCTAAATTTGATGTTAAGGCAAAAGACTATTATTTGTAACTGTGCTCCTAATCTATACATCGAATACTTGGATAGGGAACATGCGATGGGCAATGTTTCTCGTATATCTCTTTATTTGGTCACAAATTGGGCGCACATTTCGAACAAGCAAATAAAAAAGGAAAAAGTACCTGAAAAGAGCGTATGTAAGCTATCTATCATGTCAATCCAATTTATTGTACAGCAGGCTAGTAGTTATACTTGATAAAAACTGGTATTTGTGCCATTAACTCTGTACCCAATAAAGGATATTACATTTAACCAGTGAACTGAATTGGCACAGTAAACGCTAGAATTTTTCGTTATCAAGCTTTTCAATGACAAGTTATTCATCTCACTGCAAATGTATACTTCATTAGATCAATATTTTTATTAAAATAATTTCTTAAGTAGATCTTTACTTCTTGATGGTCCAGACCAAGCTAAAAATATGCTGTATAACTATGAGATCCATATGTATCACAAAAATGTCAGCGGGACATATTATCTTGAATTATCTTGCATAAGCCTCTACCGTCTACTAGCATATTGAGTGCATATGAGACTTTGCTATCACGCCAATAGTCCTAACTTCGTTCTTGACAAGCTATTACATACAGAGAAAGTGGAGAAAAAAATTACGCCAAACATGAATCTCAATTTCGGAGTTACGCCAGATTGGTTCTCTTTCACACGAGTGAGCAGGAGTAGTAACAGAAAGATCCGGAGGCCATCGGTAGAGACGCGTCCAAGTTACCTTTTGGCTACTGCCGCTGCTTTTGAAGCACAAGTACGCAATATGATGTCAACGGGCAGACGCGCTGCTCGTAGAAGGGAAGGCAGTCATCGGTTCGCGTACGACCAGAAACATATACAGCAAACGCTAGTGGACAGGTAAGTCTCTTTTGAAGGGCTAAGCGCAGTTTTCCATTCAGCAATTCCTGTTCACACAACTCAGCGCTCTCGTTTTGGTGCTTCAAACTCTAAACTGAATGCGATTGCTACGTACGTGCATGTGGCTATTGGACCACCGTTAGCTAGTGGTACTTTATGGCGAGCGAATGTTGAGACGCCGACTTCTTGCCAGAGACTCTCGCGGAGTGCCCGGGTACTCTTACATGTACAGCCAGTCATTTAGCCCAATTTTACAGCGATGTCTATCCTGCATGCTGAAGCAGAACTCTATGCCAGCAGATCCCAAGTGCCAGTGTACTAGTACTATATTTACGATACTTGAATAACGTACGTGAATTGCCACTTATTTGCAAAAATAATGCTTAAGCGTCGTAAATATTCAGTATATCTAAAGTACTACCATGCGCCTAAGCTCCAACATGAATACAGGGCCCACATATATGTTTGCAATGCCTATGGAAAATCCACTGAAAATGTTGCGCAAATTCTTGAAGATCGCCGAGATACAACCCCAGACGTCCTTGCTCCCTTACCATCTGGGGTTGCCTTATGCCATTGTTTCAACGTTACGTTGGTCTAGCATGACTGACCTGGCCGTGTCGTCTGTCTCAACCAAGGTTATTCTGTAGCTTGCCCCTGTTTCGTCCACTGCCCTCGCTTGCACTTAAAAGGGGCCGCCCGTTTTGCCTCTCTGCCTTGACCTTCCTGGTCTCAGCTAATGGCCGCCGTCGACTCTGTCTGCGAACGTGATCGTTACCTACCACGGACTGCTGGAAAGCATTCGCTACATTTTGGAGACTTCAAATGATCTTGGAGTGGCTGACTACAAGGGTGGATTTAGCTCGACATCTATGAGAAGGGAGACAATGTAACTACGCGTCCGCCCAGGAAACAAAGCAAAAGAAACGAGTATCTGCTTTTTGTAGTATTCATTCTATAGGATGCCCAGCAGCAAAACTGTGTCTCAACCCCATCTTCTCCCCGTCTTCGAAAAGGCGCAAGGGGGGGGGGGGGTTGAAAAAGGAGCAGGATAGTTAATTGAACCGTTGGCTCGCCCGTAGCCTGAATCGAAGTGCCGTGAGGCCTGCGCTAAACACCGCACAATATAGTCGTGAATAGCTTAAGTGCTCGTATAGGCCAGCAGGCTGCGGGCGCTTCAGTGGTCATAGAGGACGACGAACACTTCTTAAAAGAGAGAGAGAAAGGGGGTAGCTGCTGCAGCTGCCATAGAACAAAAAGCTCTCGACAAGGAGATTAACGAGAGAAATTGTTGTAGCAACTAGAGCCGCCACTGCCATAGCGCTGTTCGTAAAGCGAACAACTATGTAGCTGGCGGCAATGGTGAGAAGGCCACAGCAGATTTTACTGTGCAGCGCTTAGCTGAGCTGTTTGAGATGAAGTAAGTCGTGCTCGACCCTGTAACGGATGGTCAAACACCGGAGGGAGTCGTTTCGACTAAGGGTCGGAGGTCAAGGGTCACCCTTCCTCTTCAGGTTTTTTTTCCTATTGTGTCTTGAAGACTGCCTGACTACCCCAGAGGGCTGAAGCAAGCGGGAAAAGGCAAAAGAACGAAGCAAAATGGAAGGAAAGCGTCTGTCTTGCTGCTGTTGTTCAGCGTGAAAACTAACGTGAAACCGTAAAGGCAACTGCGAAGGACAATGGAATGAAAGCAGGAAGCGAAATGTTGACGGCAGCCCGGGACTGCACTCTTCGCCTAACAAGAAAGTGGCCGGTGGCATTCTGTCAGCTCTTTAGAGACACAGACGTATAGATACAGTCATCGTTATTCCAAAAAGAGAAAAGAGCCGACCAGTTTGATTCGTCCTGTCACTATGTGTTACAGGAAAAGAATTTATCTATAGTAGAAAAGGCTAAACCGATTATTGGATGTACTGCGCAATGTCGCTGCTGTGGCAATATTAGCGTTTTCTGTACAGTCTGTCGACAGCGGGCAGGTCCTGGAAAACGAGTCAGCTTGTAGCTAGAGGGAGGAGTGATATAGTTTGAAAGTTTATGGTTGAGTGTAACCGCAATGAAACCAAAAGATAGATAGAAACACGTCGAAGGCTTGCACAAAGCAACATGAATAGAAATTTACGCGCAAGTCAACTGATATACGGGCTACGCAAATAATATGAAGTAAAGTATCATGCAATGATGTTTTAAACTGGGTGGAAATATTCAGTAGAGCTCAAACGAGACCGGAGTTGCTCCTGGAAAGGATATCGATATGCAGTTTCATTATTATATATATTGCTGTGGTACCGATAAGCTTTCGGGAAGTTTCGGGTTTTTATTTACTTCTTTCAAGAAGTTTCTCATTGAGATTAATAGATCGGGTTGTTTCTGGGTCCAAACTGTTAGAGGTTCAATGCCCTATACCCCGTCCATCGAAAATTCTCCCAGCATAACTACATGCGCCTGCTTCTGAAAAGGATTATCGATTAGCTGCAAATTCAATGACTGAGGTATAACATGGGAATCCGTTTTTATAATCTCCTTTTTTGTCGTTACTTCGGAGCCAGTTACCATGTAAAGTTTCTAAAAAGCTAGCAAAATAGAAAGTTGAGGAAGATGGTTCCCATTTTCTTTTGCTTTTTGTATTGTACCTTCCGTAAATTCTAATCTTGGATACTGATCGAGTTACTGACAATTGGCTTTTGTCAGAAAAACTGTTACTTCTACAGAGAGAAGACAAAATTGTAGCATATCTCTTTTCAATTATTCAACCACAAGCTACACAGGATCGATAGCTATGGCCGCCCTGAAAGTCGATTGCTTCTGCGAACTTCTTTCCTGTCGAGCGACTTCCCACTGAAGCCTAAGATAAGTTTTTCCAACCCCTCAATGACTGCGTGTGGTCACGTGTACAAGGCAGACTCGGTACTTTGTTGGCACTACACAGCAAATGTTATCATTGATGGAAATCTTTGAATTTGAACCGCCGCAAAATCGGTATGCCAGAAGCAGATGACTTCGAATAGCGATTATTATCGATTTTTAAATCAACCGCCATTAAAAATAGAAAGACTTGACGGTTCGGGAGAGGAGAAATCGCCGCCAAGGAGAGACGTTCTGACGTACAGCGTACGAATCAGTCCGTACTACGTAACTATAAAACTACAGAGGCAGACGAAATAATTATTGTACAAATTGTCAAATCATACGTACTACTTGGCCTTTTAGTTGTAGAAGCTGTAAGCCCACGCATTATTAAGCTAATCAGCGTTCAGACAAACGTAAAGTAGCTCTCAACCGCAATAAGTTTTCGTTATCCATATGTCCGTAAACGTAGTTTATTTTCTGTCTGTAACGGCCGCATTTTAGTGCTTGGGCGTACACCTTGTAGCAAGTTATATTGTTAACTACAAAAGTCACGCTGAGCTTGATATCGGTGTACGTTTTTTGCCGACGCTGCGGCATGTTGTGCAGCATTGCTCTATAGCTCAAAGAAGATACCCGAACAAAAAGAAGTCGACATATTTCTATTTCAGACAATGAATAGCCAATGGGCTGCCCTTGTTTACCATGGAGACGAGCTTTAGATCTGATAATAATTGGACCTCGGCGAGATCGTCTTGAGAAGTATCTCAATAATCTATTGTAAATAACTGTACACGAGAAGCGTACGTAAGAGAGAGATCAAACAGGCGTATATCAGGTAATTCTTTGAACAGTTATACTTACATCAAGGCAAGTCCTCTGAAAGTATAAACTAATTTGAATGAGGTCTCGCGAAGAAAACACCTGAACATTCATTCTGTGATATGTTTCAGAAGCACAAGGAATGGTAATAATTAAAATTCGATGTGGCTTGCCTGCAGATCTTCAGAATACTCTGTTAGTAACTCTGCAAACGCAACGTTTTTTTTGTCGTTAAGGAAAACGCATATAGAGGAAGCAACCAATCTTCATCGTGCTAAGTTCGGTGCACAGGCTGAAAAAAGTATCGAACGATTATTAAACACGGTTTTACGTTGTTGGTGCCTTCTCGTTGAATATTATTTGAATAGTTCTTTTCCTTTGAATAGCATTATTGCTTAATAGTTGGCCGGCAGTATTATTTCCGTGAACACATACGTCACGAATATAACAATCTACATTGAATTCGAGATTCGTTTCATACGCGTTTTGAAGCCCTGACTTCAGAGTGCGTTTGACAAAATGGCGTCTAGCCACTCAGTTTGTCGCGTCTTTCTTTGGTGCCCTGTCACGACTAACATATTGAAGTAATGCACCGAGCCGGAAAATAACGCTTCGATCGCCTTTACGGGAAGCACTTACTCTAAAGGATATGGAAAAATACCTCAGTGCGGATTTTCTCAGCCAGTAGCAAAAAAAAAAACGGGTACGGCGATGACTGCGGCAACAACCCGACAACTGAATGCACAAACAGTAGGTTCGGCCATGCCGGTAAAACGGGTCGCGGCTTTCCTTACTTCATCTTTGAAATCTACATCGAACAATAGTAAATTTAACGTAGCCGTCACTATTATATCTATTTATGATGGACATTGATGATTGCTGTGCTAAGCGTCTGCAGGTGAAGTCTGATCCATATCGATGTATTTCTGCTTTTCCCTGTACCATGAATATCAACACTTCAGTGATTCATCTAATATTGCCATATATATATATATATATATATATATATATATAATGACACGTCAAGCGTGTTGTACTCAGCGAATTAATTTGATGAAAACATGGCCTTAATAGTGACAGTATTTAAATAAAAAAAAGCAACTCTACAGAATTTAACATAAAATTGCACACGAATTATACGGTTTTTCGCTATAACACCTGCGCATTCATAGCTAGGTGCAGTGTGAAATAGTGCTTATTTCAGTACTATCGCAGCATATACTTTGATAGCATAATATGATAGAAGGGGTCGCGGCAAACATAGACGATGCTGTGTTTATCCTTTTGAATTATGGTGGGGCCCGACCAAAGAAGACGGTGTAGATCCGACTCGACCCACAATGTCGGGCAGCTCGTCTAATGTTATCGTCTTTGTTAAATAGCAGAATGGCAGGAACGGATTTTATGGGAGTTTTGCGGTACGAGACAATGGGGCTTGTTCCTACACTTCGCGTCATTTTCTAACCACACACTTATTAGTAGCCTCGCCCTTTCCGCTACCACGTCCGTTTCCGTGTTCATACGAACAGATACGTAAATACAGATAATGCGTTCAGACATCTTACACATACACATTGACGTGCACGCGCGTACACGGCCGCACATACAGCTAATGCAAATGGTTACAAGGAATATTTATTTGGAAGGGCCTTTCTGTCGGTCGTAACGGCGCCATCATCACCGGGCTGGCTAGCATGCGTTGATAGTTTGCGCCGACACTTGAGAATGTGCTCATGCGAAACTACGCATGAGTTAGAAGGCACAGATATTACGTACGTTTTTAGCTTTTGCTTCTCCACTCGTTTTCTTAAAATATCGCGCCTTTCGCCTGCCCTGCCATAAGGCACGCTTCTTCCCTGTTTTACAAACGGAACAAGTGTAATATAAAAACGCTCTCAAGCCAGCAGTATTATAACTACGAATTAGAGGGGCGTACAAACCAGTTGGTAATCATACGAATGGCTAGAAAGCTAGAAGAGGTGCGTTTACAAGCACGTTATTACCATGGCGGAACGGAAGAGAACGCTTGCCGGCAAGTGAACGAATATGTTTTGGGATTCCAGTCGCGTAGAAACATGTTCGTGCCCAGCAACAAGATATCGGACTGTTTCGTTGCGAAATCCACGTAACGATGAACGAGACCCAACGTACTACTAGCGTTTGCTTTGAAGCGTCGCATAGTGGACTAATAGAACAACAATATTATTATTGATGACATCAAGCTGCCTGATCGAATGCATTTGTGCAGATTTCCATATGAAAACGCTTTCTGTCGATAATGTCTACGCGATTAGGATATATAAGCGTTTACAGCCATCAGATCATGAACAATGCATAGAATCACGGGTCGTCTGTCAAATTTGAGACCGAGAGACGGCCCCAGCATTTGTACAAGGCGCTGTACAAGTGATGTGGTTATCGGTTGAAATTAGCTTTGTTTTGGTTCCATCTTATCTACGCTTCAGATGCCAAATCAAAGAAAAAAAAAGAGTCGTTATCTAGCGCTTTTACGGCCTGAGCCAAGTGAGAACTAGAGAATCGTTTGTTATAATAGCGCTATAGAATTCGCAGTAAGCATAACCAGCAGTTGAAACATTATAACGATACATTTCACCCACAGCGAAGTCGGCAAGTTCAGTGATCCGAGGGTCATTGTAGCTCACACAGCCGGTAACTGAAGCTAGAATTTTTCATTTGGAAGAATGTCGTAACTTTTTAACACCTCTTCAGCCTGATCTATTCGAGTGAATATACCAAGTATAAAGTTTACCTGAATTTATAGCCATGATATGTTCGAGTTACTGTTACTATATAGTCAACGTAATAAATGCATAAATACTTTTAGTAGTTTGAATGAAAAAACTGTGTTTTTAGGCTAGCTTGGTGACGTATGTTTTAGATGTTATGGCAATCTGTTCAATATTTATAACATTAGCTGTAACGGATAGGGAGAACAAATAAGGTTTCACCATCGGAACCAATCGTAAAATTGTATGTGATAGAATAGTGCTGTTTTTTTGAATTTAACGATTCCATTTCTCCTCTGATTTCATTTGCATGAAAGCAAAGCGTACGGCTGCCGGTATTTGCTGGTGATCACTCAAGTACAAACATATAGTGAAAAACTCTATTCTATAGACGTATATCGGTGCATAAAACATATTTTTTTGGGGGGCAATTTAAAAAGATGGCATTTGACTTAATTATAGAACAGTATAAATGTGTTAGTGCGTTCCTATGCACACCCCACAAACACACTCACAGGTACGCCGTTGTTCCTCGTTGACGATGAAGACTGCCCCTCTGCGCAATTAGGAAGCACTTTTTTCCTTGTAGATTCATGATAAGAATCGTTAATTTGCTAAGATGCTGCACGAGTGCGTTTCTGCAATTTTGTAGGAAGGAAACAATATGTCTGCCTGTTTCGTTCTGGCTTCGTGAACCATCTTTCTCATTCATCCGGTCTGCCGTTCCTTTCAAGCAAGTGAATGCAGCCGAACTTGAGAACAGTTTATTCTTCGAGAGGATCTATCTATGCGGGCTGTCAGGAGATGATAGGACGAGATGAAATAGCACAAAAAGAATGAATATCTGCCAGGTCTTGAATTTTAAGATTCATCTTAGGATCAAACTGGGCTATATCTGGTCCAGCTACTCGGCTACGCTGGAGAGTCACTCATCAGGCCTTACGTAATTCTGGCATCGAAATGATTCCGTAACGGCTGTTGGCGTAATGTCTTGTAATAGAATTGAAAGTCATCAGCTTTGTCATAGAGAGGTCTGAATGGTTCAGCTGGAGATAACAAACTTTCGTTTCGTTAAAATAAAAATCGTCGACTGCCTACATACATTTGTAGTATCGTACTACAAATTGATTGCAGACCGGTGATCAATCTTCATAAAAAGGGGAACGGCTCTTTTTAAAGGACTACTCTCTTTCGATAAATTGGTCCATTTTAAATATAACTATAATTTGAGTAACATAGTTAATAGCTACGTACTGTGGCCAGACTCATAGGCCTAACAAACGTTTGCAAAGAGCAGTGTATGCGGCGTCTCCTGTTGTCTACTGTGATTTCAATTCTCCACGAGCTGTAATAACGTCTTATGGTACAACAATTGTGTTTTATATCTTCCTACTTGTATTCCAAGTAATGTCTAGTGTTCTATCACATATAGAGCTATGTTTTTGCTAGTTTGTAACTTAGTTTTAACTTATAGTGATGCGACAGTTTACGAGTCCATAAGTTAAATAGACTATAGGCTCGATTTAGTAATTTGGAGCTACTTTCCTTTTGCCTGGTGCGAACTCAAGGAACTCGGAGGGACCTTTTCCTACTTGTGTTCACTTAATTGAAATTTCTTAGATTTTTCGATAAAACGTTCCCTCTGGCCCGCTTATGTATAATATGTCGCTTGTAGCTAATATAAAACCCTATATTTCCACATGTACTTCCGTAGTGAACGAAAGCCTCTTAAAAAGTTCTAAGACCACATACGTTGCTCATTCGTACTTTGAACTATTCCAACAAAGACAGTTGCTCTCCCGCGTTCATTGAATTATAACATATTAGGCCACACAGAACAGCGCATTTGAAATTAAATAAAACTATCTTGCTAACGGCCTGTCAAAAAAGGTTTAGCAAAGGTCTCAGTATGACGTACGACAGGAGAGTGTAGAGAATGGAGTACCATAGACGTGCTTTTACTTCAATTTAGAGAAGAACAAAGTGTGTGCTCATTTTTCCGCAGAGGTTGAAGCCGAGCCGTGATTCCGATGCCGGTGCCTCATTAGCCGCCGTCAATATGGGAAGTTTTGTTCATTATAAATGGCCTGTACCGATGACAGGCGTATCTTCAAGTACGCAAATTCGGAACTATCGTTGGCTCCCAATTGCCCTTAACCAACTTATTTCTAGAAGTGTCCTTCTTTTAATATGAGCAGATACATATTTAATTTGGCTCTCCTCCGGTTATCTATTTTTCAAAAAGGACCCTCTTAGAACCTACGATGTCAACCTATAAAAACAATGTACAGAGCCAGCTAGTCAGCGGCCCGCCAGCTCATGTATACTATGCAAATATGTATATTTTTTCCTTCCTCTAACTTGCTGAGTGGTACGTACGTCCATCTTTTTTGGAAGTTCCTTCGGCTTTTCGAGGAACCGGGCGCGTTTATGAAGCTACCACAAGCGTTAACGTATCTCATTCTTTCTCTTGTTCTGTGAATTCGTTTCTTTCCCATTAATCCTTTCTTCCAAAGACGTATGTTGCTAAATTACGAATTTCACTAAATTACTTCGCCATGCTGTAACTAAGTGGAATGCTTACAGCTATGACGTGTTATTGGGCACGATACGGCCCCTATAATCACGTTTGCTAATCTACGACGCCTGATTTGATAGTGGCTGATATGAGCCACCTACAGATCAGATATGATAACAGTTCCTATCTAGACGGCCGACTCGATCTGCGACATTGTATAGAACGCTTCCGCAGATGTTGGATAGGACAACACAAAGCTATTCGATGTTGTTGTTATTGTTGACATTCAGAATCAAGTAATAGAGTTTGTCAATGATAAGTATTTGATTAAAAAAAAAATGTTTGTTTGATGAAAAGTTGTTAGATTTATTGGCAAGCATTTTATTGCTAGGTTCAGCATTGAGGCAGCAATGATAATCTTGACTGGCATTCTTGCTTTTCTCTTCGTTCAAAAACTCTCGTTTGGTATTCAAGCTAATTGTAATGCGATTTCATCAAAATGAAGGCTGCCGACGTACTTTTTATTTAAAGATATCTTCGCACGCTCGCTTTTTCAAGGTTGCCTCTTGCATCAGGTTGCTGGAAGGACGAAGCCAGAAAAAGCGTTAAACGAGATGAGGACAAGGTAAGCGAATCTCTGACGCTTGTCAGGAAACTGAACAAGAAAAGCTGATTCCAAAAAGCTTTTTATTAGGTCTCCTTCACTGCAATAATACGACTCATACAAGAGATTACCTGGGGACTTTGCAGCTAGTAAAATATATTAACTTCTGCTATATTCTAAAACATCTGCAGTAGCGGTTCTATCACATTTTAAATGGAAGATTGCGCTGTCACATGATGGAAAAGTTTCTACGTTTCATAGGACATATTGTTTTGTGTCAGATCATCGTCGGAAAACAACTAGGGTAAGTGTCAATTAGAACATCGCGGTGGTTGACATAACAAATATACAGACCGAATTTTTGCTCTGAAGTTTTCTCTAGAAAATTTTTTCCGTGACTCATCAAAATAATGTTTCTTCTACGCCTCGTGGCGCTTTACTGACGCCAGCACTTCATACAGACTGATAGATCTTCACGAGCTGAGTAAACATGCATTACATCCTCGTATAGCTAAAATTGATGTTTTGTATGAAATAAGCTATAAGCACATCTAGTAGTGATCTTTTTGCTGAGGTAATGCTGAAATGAATTTTTTTGCGTAGAAGTCTGTAGCGAAGAGGTATTTCTCATGAAAATGCGTTCCGAGCGATTTTTTGAGCGAACTTGTAAAAAAACGTCAATCAAACACTTGAAGCGGCGAACATAAAGTTGATTTTCATGAAAATGATTATTTTGTTATTAATATTTAGGGAAAAATGCCCAAACGCCAGATAAACATATTTAGAAAAGGAAACAGGTAAAAAATCATAAACTTTTGATAATGTCCCAGAAGTAGATTGCACAAGAAGATAGACACATCAAGTCTCTATGACATGTTCATTCAGTCTCTATTTAGCATAGTATATGCAACTACTTGTTGATAAGGAAGTAAGACGAAAAATCTTTATGCCTTGGTGACGTCCTAGGAATCGATCGACCACACAAAACGCATCAATAGAATTGCATATATAGATCCATAAGTAAATATATTTTCATTTAAAGAAATGTCTAAATAGAAAAAAAAAAGTTTCAATTCTTTAGAAAAATCTAAAGATTCTCTGAGCTTCACAGACGTCCCATTAACAGAATCAATAACCTAGCCTACTTCATCAGTAGTAAGACTCCTCAAGATTTCATATGCGTTCCGCAAACAAAGACAATCAGCCAACATTGAAAAACGTTGTCGAAAGCCAACACATAACAGGCGACAGAAATTCGAAGGTGGCTAAGCCCCCTGGCGAACAGGGTACAGAATTAAGTGCTAAAGGATAAGGAACAGGGTAACTGCTGATGTGCCTATTTGACCTACACTTTTCGCTAGCCTAAATGAACGAACTGGATTAATTAAAATAGTCAACACAAAAGAGACGCGGGGTGGAGCTCGCAAGCGGAAATGTCTGTTTCATCGTACATTCCACACGCAAGACACTTACAAGATAAATTCTATATTGCTTTAAACATACATTGATTAGCCAATTGATTGCTAAGCTTTTTAAAATGGCAGCAGGCCAAATCTGGACGAAACGAAATTACGGGAATTTGTGCTAATTATTCGGAATCCCTCCAAAGTTCCTGCCCGGAGCAGCTTTTGCTTCCATCTTGCTTCGGACGCCCTAATGACCAGTTAGATTGGTTGAATAGTACTACTGGCTTTTACTACTACACCCGCATCGCCGAAACGTCAGCGTTTACTGTAATAATTTATTAGGTAGTGTTCAATGGTCTGCGACTAGAAAAGTCATGTTCCAAGACAAATGGCACGAATGACAAGATGGGAAACGTGTAAGAACATTTGGCATAGTAATGGATAAATGATTCTATCTTGTGACCTTATCGAAACATATTTGAGCCGATGATTAGTAAGTTCGAGCGGGGCATGAGTGACGGCTGATACGGTAAGGCATTTTGTGATAACCTATTGTGGTCCAACTGTGAGCGAGAATACGGGATACAACAAAGCATTTGTCCTCGAGCCTTCTCAACACTCTCTATAATTTCGTATGGTATTGCCATTAGACGTCCCGTCGCATGGCTGAGTCCCAGAACGAAACAAACCGCGTGTCTCTACCCGGCTTTGAACCTATAGCAAAACGTGTCCTAAATAAGGCGTTACAAACTAAACTACCACAGAGGCAGGCGTCTATAACTGGACGTTCTTTCGCCATGAAAAGTGACAACTATGAAATCAACAAATTTTCGAATTTTTCTTTAATTCTACTCTAGTTGTACATGACAAAACACAGACTATCCTCAGCACCCTATTTAAAAAACTGACGAGATGTTCTGCCAATGCACGCTGTTATTTTCCACAGACTAGAAATCAATTGAGAATTGTTCAAGCTTAACCTCTTTATCGATCAGTCCAAGTTGGATCAATGAATAACCACTATTGAATGAACCATTATTCCTTACGAGAAGTTCACTATTTCAAGTAAACATACATTACGGCTTCAATGTGCGCTTATGTTATTTTCGTTTAAAGCGAAGTAATGAAATTTCAGTAGTTTCCATGTAAAGATTTAGCCCGCCCAGCGCAAGCTAATAGTACGTTAATGTCCTTCTTCATATACAAAAAGGCCTTTTAGCTCCATCTAAAAGCCTGTCGACGATACAACTAGACTTCATTATCTGATCCAGCCTTGTCGCTCATTTTTTTCAGAGCTGCACAAATGGCAAAAGTGTGATCTTTTAGCCATACGTGGAATTTAATGATAAGTACACATATAAACTTTTTTTTCTTTTTTTTGCAGAAGTCAACCCTTCGGCCAATAGAATCAAACCGATCCGGTCCCTTTTCCTAGCGGCAATTCACTCGATTCGCAGGCTGAAAGACGTAATCATCTCACGCGCAAAAAAAACAATTGCCTTCGCCAGGCATAATTAGCTTGTTCGTGATGAGCATCTCCCGTTAGTCTAAGCGTCGTACCCACAAGGTGATTCCGTACAGCTGAAACTTATCGCTTCGATCATGGCGTAACGAACTTCACTCATTGCACTGTTCTTTTTTACTCTTGTCAATGATCTTTTTAGTTAATAATACGTTTCATAAGATCATAACCGTTCATTAGCTCATTTGCGATACCATCAAAGAACTCTGAAAAGAAAGCACTAAAACCAACTATGATACGGACATACATAGTGCGACACTGACTGACTAGCTGAACTTTATATTAGAAGTTTGAATGTAGAAATCCTTTCAGTATCTAGATTCGAAAACAAATAAATCAGGCTGAGAACTTATGGCGGCCAAATAAGTATAATGGTAAGCCAAACGTCCCATTGGGTTGACTTAGTGAATTGTATAAGGCCATACGTGATACCCGACTAGATAAGGCGGAAGCATCCATTCCTTGCTGTTGGTCACGATCACAGGTATACTGTGGTCGGTCTACAAAGTAAGCCAACAAGCAGCTTGCGTCAACTGTTGAAATGCGAAGTATACGCAAGTACATATATCTAACTTAACACATAGTTATATTTGAGTAAACTTAGCTCCTAATGTTCGAAGCTGCAAGTTTGCCACTGAATAGCATACCTTTTTATAGTTCTTTTTCATACGATAAACATAAAATGCACTAGGAATAGAACTTTATAACAAAATGAGTCACGCTACCGTTGTGAGATATAATGAAATACATCGTTGACTTTCATATCGCTAGGTAGGCACGATGCCGTATCAATTGGATACGACATGGCCCCGGGGAAATGAGGATGATGTCAGACACAAATTGAGTCCGAAGAGGGCCGGCAAAAGGGCGCCGTTGCCATTTATCGCTTGAAATGAGCTGCTCCTCTATAAATAAATATTTCCATTGATGTTTGGGTCTCATTTTACTGTTGGCTTTATACAAACATAAGTGGCATGGTGACACGTTTAGCCACTAAACGAAATCGTTGAAAATACACAGTGAAGTGACTTCCTAGCTTCATTCCACGCGTTTTTTGCTTGTTTCTAGATGAATGTGGGTGGCGTATAGATCCTGTCTGTACACAGCGTTGTCTATGAGCGGAAAATTGCACACGTAGGTCACTGTCGGTTCCAATAGGGCGTACAGAAAGAAAACTGCAACAGGGTAGGTAAACAAAGTATACCAATTTAGAAGAAAAAATTTGCCACAGAGGAGCATTTGTCTAGAGAATGTAGGTGTGATTTTGAGCAAGAAATCATTAGATTTCGCCATAAGTAGATTGATACGTGTGATTGCAGTTGTTAGTCCGGACCGCCTCTCTAACGTCTCCGTCTATTGAAGTCATTACAAGAAGCACGGTGATGAGCGAAGATAACTTGGCCCATAATGACACGCGTTGCTGAGTTTTACGCTGGTATGAATTTCCCAATGTTTCGGTGTTTGTTACAAACGTTCGCCTGCCTCAGTAGAGTTACATATACCGGAACAGAACCTATTGTTCAAATGCTTCCACTCAACATGAATATATATATACAAACTAGATTAATCAACTTTCCCTGAATCTATGACTATTTTCACCTACATATTTGTTATTACGTATATCAACGAATCAATTTAGGCGGGCCAACATAATCTGATATCACTTAAATGAAGGATTTATCGGAAAACCCAGAATCTCAAAAAATTAAATTGTCCCTATGGCTTCGTTTTGAATTCTGTAATATGTTGTTTTTGATAGACACCTCTAAAGCTAACAAAAATCAAACGGAAACTTGCATTCGGTCATTCCTCTGCCTGTTCTTCGACACGTGACTTATGAGCCGACCGAAAGCATACTAAGATTCAGGAAGACCTGCCCACCAAATTCAACTACCCTATAATCACAGCAAATGCAATTATGAAATCCACAGGAAACACCATTCACCCGATCCGACCCATCACATAGAATTCAGGAGAGCATCAGTAGTCGTAGTAACGGCAAAGAGTATAGGGGAGTGAGGCAGCCACACGACGCTTACGCCGTCGTAAATGTAGCTTTTGTTAGTGCCTCCTCTGTAAAGGCCACATATGCCGACGGAACGACCACTACATAGTAATAGCCACGATGGTGACCACCGTCAGAAAGGTGTCTGACGAGGCGCGATGATTTATGTACGCGGACAGTCCCCTGCTGTCTTGACCGCATTCGCAACTACCACTACAATAGTTCCGTTGCAATAGCGAGATCGCGGACTCGCTCTGTACAGGTTCCTTTTATACCGGTCATTCTCGTTTTTTGGTCAGCGAACCAGTAGCGGGTTGTGGCCACAGTGAATCTTTTCTCATAACCCAATGTCCGACGCCGACGCTAGCATTTGGCTTGTTTCCCCTCGATACACATCAGCTGTCAGGCTCTCTTAAGTCCCTTGACGTCCGCTTAATCCTAAAGCTTTGTCTGAAGACTACGCCAACCCCAGCTAAGCCACTCAAGCTTATTACCGACAGATTTCCGCGATCGTTTTTGACGACGCTTTTGACTTTCCCTGCAGAAAGACTCGTGACAGCAGCAGCCGCAGCGATCGGTCATCACTCGTAGTGACAACAAGATTTCTAGCGAAGTCTAGTAGTCCAGTAAAGAAGCACTTTGGAACCTTGATAAGTTGCACCGAGTTTGCCAGCATTAAGTACGCGGCCACATGATAGATAGTACACACGAAAGACAGGTAGAACCGCAAAAATTAGGAGGTAATTGATTGGGTGGTGAGGCAGACGGGGAGTCGACGACGGCTGTTTTCATTGAATTCAAAGGTATTGATTGTTGGTCGTGCCACGTTGGTTAGCTTGTCGTGATTGGTGTTAGGCATCCGCTAGTTTCAAGTGGTCTTGTAAGCGTTCAATTCTAAGGAAGCGAAGCCTACCAATGGATTTGCTATGCTGTGTACATAACTCAGGGTGTGCTACTTGCAATAATGTATAATTCTTAGGAAATTTTTAGCTTTACGACTGATACCAAAGGTCACGTGATCGAGTTGAATAACATTCTTGTACGAATGGAAATTTTGACGCCTGACTATAGACGCTTCGGTTTTTCTAAATCGTTAGTTATCGAAGCTGTTTTATACACTTTAGCGAGTTGAGGTAATAATAAGAAAAACCTAAATAAAGACAAAGCTGAGTTGAGAGGTTTGCTAATCAAAAAGCTCAACCCTCTTCATCCAGCAAGGGCATAATATAAACAAGTACTAAGCCGAGGTTCAAATCACGATACAGTTTATATCGTTGACGTTGGTACTAGTTGCACCTAAGTGTGAGTTTTGTAAAATTCAAGGTCTACCTTTATTTACATAGTCCAGTCAAAAAGAACTACTCATATCGGTGTACACAATGACAAAAAACGTGCGTCCAACGTGCAAAATGTGCGAAAAAATAGAATACAATACATTGAACCCAGGCGGAAAACGATGTCCAAACGGTACTTACGAATAGGTCCAGGACCGGCAAAGGTTCAGCGATCTCGGCAAGGATCTTAGCTTTAACAGCAGTCTACCTTGGAAATACGCAGATACATTTTTTTATAAGAATACTCCCAACTGTAAGACATTGCTTTTATATAATATTAAAACCCCGCAGCTTGAATCAGTCTCAAAAGCCCCAACATGATAGTAAGTAGCTTTTTTTGCATGTTCTAGGTTTGTCACATGGCTATTTAAGCGCATTTACATACAACGAGCCTGGAACGACACTATCACAGGATTACGACAAGCACGGTCTTTAGGAAGCTGTTTGAGTATGTATCGAGGGGGAAAAAGTCTTGTTTCTAGGGATGAAAACTTTACAGACACGATTACCTTCTAGACAGAATGGACAGGGAAAAAAAACAGGTTATTTCCAACAAATGAAGTCCGAAGTCCATTAAAAGGTGAAAGAAACGTGCATTTGCACGATGCATTTTGAGTTCGTCTATTAATATTGTAGTACGTTGCGTCTGCTCCGAGTATGATGAATGGGCACAGGAGAAAAATTTCGGCATATAGTTTACTATTGGTACAAATGAAATTGATGACGTTGCTACATGCTTTAAATCATATCGCGTCGACTTCTTTTAAACGATTATGGCATTACCTGCGGATGAAAGCCTGCCCTCAAATATTTGGTTTCTTTGTTAATACCCAACCCATAAATTAGTCCATCAGAGCAACAGTTGACAATTACGTTGCCACGGTGCCATAACTAAAAATTCATGCATGCAACATACACACTGATAGGGGGCAGACATTCCGGAAGTTCGCTAGCGAAATTTGCAAACCCAAATATCAATCCCGCGGCAGTTACCGCATGCAGCAACGATCTGAGTACATCTTCGTAATTCTTCTGTGCGGAAGAAAGATGGAGCCACCAGCCAAGAACCTTTATAAATATGCCCCCCTTTGTGCCCCTGTGAATATAGGGTAAATACGCAAGAAAATTTGGCCTTTTGAGTACGCTAGAAGAGGAAACGTCAATTGCTGTCGAATATCCTGCCTGTAGGACATGATATTTGCGGAATTTCTCAGTGAAATCTGAACGCAAATATTGTATTTTTCACGTAAATCTTCCCATTGGTATCTCGATTGGCTCGTATAGGAAACTCATGTCGTTAGCACATCGTTAAAAAATTTCAATACGAAATTGTCTAGTTCTCATATACTAGTGGAAAGCTTCGAAACCATGTTCTGCGCCTCATGTCTCTATACTGCTTGGCTAAAAAAAACCTACCTTTCGGTTTAGCATATGATTGACAAATTCAATGCTGAAAATAAGATTCCGGTCGACGTCTTTTCATGATGGTTATCATATCGTAGGGGTATGTTTTCCCTAACCATAGGATTTATCTGGGCAACGCAGCTCATTCAGCGCAAACGTATAGCTGAGTCAGTATCTCACAGTAGCTCTATGCTTTGAGTTTTACGTTCGGTCCTAAAATTAACAGGCAACCCATTGACCTACCACGGGTACTTATATTTACATATAGCACTAGCTCAGATAACTTTGACAGTTCAAGCCAAGCAGTCTAATCTATGCCATGTACTATACATACGTCGTACCTACGCAATACAGGCCGAATGTTTGTTGAGCAGTATTACACATAGGACACCTACTGTCGTTAAGCCAAATGGTCATCGAGCTGCACCGAACGACTCGAATCGGCGTATTAGCGCTGGACAGAATTTCGGTCTTCGCCTTCCGCCTCAAGCACCTACATAAGCGAGTACATCCATGTAAACACATTATTCTTTTTACTATGGCGAGGATAAAAATAGGTCCCGCCGGCGTGAGGATTCCTCGGTCCTGCTATGTCTCATACCTGCCGACATTGTAATAACATATAACGGAAATGCAAGACGGGTAGGCAGCCATTACTGTTCGAAAATGGTGGCTCCATAAATCACAGTAGAATCCCTCGGCAAACAATCAGCCAATACAAAGGCTTACGCTAAGTTAATGGCCTGTTTAAGGCCCTTAGTAATGCATTCGTCCTACTCATAAAGACAAGGACACGTAAACATAGAAATTAGAGGCTTGTCCTTTTTGCTTAAAAGTAATCCTGTAGCACGTGCACGATTAGGCAGTTCTGGTATATGGACAAACAGAATATCGAGCTTTAATACCCGAACTCTGATCCCTATAGTACCCACAGTTCGACCCAGATCTATTAATAAAGATTTAAATATTGACAGTATTGACAGTAAATTGAAATAAAGATTCATAGATTCGCACTATATTTCATTAAATTAAGTTGGTAAACTGTTCATGACTAATCATTTTACAGAATAAACTCGCACACTCACACAACAAAGTGACATCCGGCGGATAGCGCAGAACGGCCCACGTCAGGTAAACGATCATATTCACTACTTCCTCTAATAGATCTGACAATAGCACAAGAACAGAGCTAACCCAGAAAACGGCTCTCATTGTATGATAACCTAAGATCAAAAACACTCAGAAGGCTGGTAGAGTCTTCGATCTAATGCAGGTATACGAAGTGCTACGCTCAGCATGGCAAATTTACGCCTGACAGGTTGGATGTTTACCACAGCTTTTAACGAAGATGTTTACTGCTACCATTTAAAATCGTAATCAAGATTTTTTTTTTTACATGAAATGTCATTTCTTGCTGAAACTGGCCACTTTCTCGATATTTCTCAGATTTTTTTGGCGCGGCTAAAATGCAGATGGACCTCAGATCGCACATAACGAAACGAAGGCCGTGTCGATCCACTTCTGCGACGTTCCTCTCTGTTTTTATAACCGGGCCCGTTTGAAGTTGATTGCAGGTCACAGAGTCTGCAGGCGAGGACTCTAAACAACCAAGCGAAGGAAAAATGGGCTTTTTAGGCGTGTGTTTCTTCTCAGCTTTGCCTTCACCAACGAAGGCAGGGGGACATATACCCTTTGGAAACGACAGATAGATGCTTCTCGACTACTGTTAATTGAGGGACCCATCAGTTTAGCGTTGGACAGTATTGACAATATTTCTTTCCTCATAGGAATAATTTTGATGTAAAATATGATTGTAAGTATAACATGCAGTAAGTTACAATCGAAGGGAAGAAGGTAGTTCGTTTAACTTGTAGTTCTAAGACGATAGAAACAAATATAACTGAAGAACACCGAAGAACGCTTTTATTTTTCATAATTTTCAAAGGAAGAGAGAATGTATTTAAAGCGAGACAAACATTACCGTTAAATATATCCATACGTACTCATCAATAAATAAATTTCGATGTTCTGTGTTCATACAAACGAGGCAATCAAATAGACGCGTTTAATAATCAGTTAAGGCAGCTTTGTTCGTGTGTAGGTAGAAATCACAATAAATGAGATCTATCATGAGACCACTCAAAAAGGTGAAGCTAAGCTATAAAAAAAAGGACATAAGTTGGTTCGAACTTTCGCTGAGTCAGTGCTTGCATTGGCTTTATAGATCTGTAGAAGCAGGTACGATCCAATGACAGACCGGACAAGGCATTTGACCTTTAGGGTGCAGGCCACATGGATGTATTGAAGAATGAGTCAAAATTACTATAGTGACAACGTTCTGCTGTTTACCTTGTACGAAGGTGGTATGCACGTAGCAAAAAAAAAAGTCTGAGACTTTTTCTCTCTGAATATTGTTACTGCTCTATGTCAAGAAATATCGAAGGTAATGTAAACTCTAGCTAGGTGGGGTGTAGCCTCTAATCTATCATGGTGAAGTACAGGACATTTCGTAAGTGGGTTGAGGGGATGTGTCGATTGTAACTGACCACCGCTCGGTAGCTATAGAAAATTTCGGCTGGAAGCCTTCAACAGTTGTTTTCGTTTCTGGCAGTACATTATTTCAAATGTTTTCTTATGAAAAGGATCGTCGGTGAGCCTTTATAGCTTTTGCCCGTACTTGACCTAAAGGAGGGCAGGGTATTGGAAGCCTAGAGGAGTAGCAAAATACATACAAAAATGAATAGCCTCTATTGAACTGCATTTGTATGGTACCCGACATGCAGAGTCACGGAAACGAGAATACTCATGCGATTTTTATCCAGTGGGAAATACGACCATGATCATAACGGAGAAAGGATTTGTTGATTAGCGAATTGTATGAACAGTTGAAGCAGACCAGAGTCTGGCGCATTCCTATACCAAAGTCGTTAAACGAATTTCAAGAAGAACCTTGAACCGACTGCCGGCAACGACCAATAAGGTGGAATTGAAAACTGAGCATTACTTCGAAGTGCCACAGCTGAGTTTATGTTTACTTGGATACTTTTCTTAGTTTTACTCAGAAAACAACACGAACTGATGTGAAATTATGGTGCAGTAACATCAACAATATCATTGTGATCGTCACGGCCAGTTATTTTTTCCATAAAACTTCAAAGGAAGAGCAGGCAAACTCCACAAGATGATTGTAGAACTCTTGTACGCATTTCAGATATTGAATATTAGAATAGCTTGTTTGAAGAAGAACGAACGCCTATTCTACCAATTTGTTTTGTGGACGAAACTAATGATGTAATGTCATACATACTTCGTTCTTACAGTTTAAACTTCTTCTCATCGATTTCCTTTTTGCGTCATTGACAACAAGCCCTTCCACTGACAAGCGGCATCCTTCAGCGCAAATAAAGGGAATTCGACTCCGGTCGTAGAAGTCGATACCGCAAAACTAGCCGAAGAAGGATCGAAATTTAAGAAGCGTCGCAGTACTCTTTTTCTACAGTGCATCGCATATGAAGGGGCGGTACTTTCAAAAATTTTGACAACAGCGCCATCACCGTCATGGAAAGACACCCTTTCTCTTAGTGTCAAGATTGAGCTTTACCTTAGCCTGTAACCTGGTAATCAGCAAATTCGTGACTGACTAGAATCTATCGTATCTCGCCCTGTGTGGCTAGATACACCCCAACTCGTATATTTTCGTTACTACTAGGCATTACTGCATTGAGTTACCTTTGTCGTGAAAGTCTTCTCTTTTTTAAAAAATGGACTAGGAAGTGGTTTGATTATTGAACTTTCTTAGAACGGCCGCAGATTATTGATTAATAATGTATAATACTAAAACATTTTGTGAACCTTGCCTATCGCGCTTAGTATTCATACCATTGAATCGAAATGGAAGATACAGATATTGAACTACCAAATTTCACACGTTCCTAAGTTAAAAACACTTGTAAAAATGTATAATGTGTGGAAATTACACCTAACTTAGCTGAATTAATTAATTCCACAGAATAAGCCAATCTTTGTTAGCTAGTTGAGTTTAGAAAAAACAAGCCGCATTGTGTGACAAAGGCGTCAGAGCCGCGCTTTTAATACACACCTTTTGGGTTCAAGGACGGTATAAAACTAAACACCAGCTTGGCTGACGCCTATGTACGTATACGCCACTAAAAATGGCCTTAAGCTTAATTGACGTTTGATAATCTTTCTTATTTCTCGTGTTTGCGAAACAGTTTTCCCCTGCGTTTTCTGACGGCGCCTAATGTAGGATTCACAAACACAAGTTACTCCTTTTCCTTGATCGAAAAGTCCTCCATATAGTTCTTCCACCCTAAAACTAACCTAAGTTTTTCTACTGCTAATATCCACAATTCGCTTTGAAACAGACCGCGCTAAGTGCACGCTCTATTTTGCTGCATTTTTTTTTCTCTTTTCGCTGTTTGCTTTCGGCTTTGGGACATTATTCGATTGTTCTGTATCATGATTTCCCAGAAGTTTAGCTCCCAGGTGTCAAACAGAAAAATCAATGGTCGTTTATAGATTGGGTGTCATGGTACAGCCTTTGGCCGTAGCACTCAATTGAAAACAAGCTATGGACACTCGTTCATTATGTACTACCTAGCGAATTCTCCTACTTCACGTGCATAGCGGCACACAGAACTTATTGCCTCGCTAGCTGTGAAGTTAGGCTGGACCGCCTGATCCGAGGCCCTGCCATTGTGAGAAACATGTTATGCAGCATCCGTGACAATTAGGATCGCTGAACTAAATGCGCATGGCGTCGTTAAGTGCAGTTTATCGCAGTTAAACGTGTAGTCAATTGCTACACGTTTATTCAGTAGATAGCACTATAATGAGTAATATCGTCGCTATTCTCGACGATTTATCTGCGTAAAGACAGAATAAATTTTTGTCTATACATTTCCTAGCATGTTTAGTAGAAGTTTCGCTAAGTCAAACGCAAAAAGATTATAGACAAGTCTGCCACTAAATAGCGGTAAATTAAGCAAATCAACTGTTTGACATTGAACATATCATCCCATCAGGTCCATTTTCTCTGTTCCGCACCTGTTTTTTTTTTCAGTCATATTATACAATACTATACTGTACGGTTTCAACAGGTATGCGAAGTCGCTTACCGAATTACGATCGGAACTTGAACTTAAAAAATGCGTTCGCGTGCCTTCTTTTTAGTATATATATAATGGTAAACAGTCTGCCTCTTATTGTGTAATTGCCATATAGCGAAGCTAAAAGTAACTGTGTTATTTAACAAGAATTGCGTTTTTGATCGGTTATAGTTCTATATCCACATATATTTTTTACCTTAAAATAAAAGTAAAGCATTTACAAAGCCTAACAGTTTGAAAAAACCATACCAATGCATAGCTTTTGTTCAAGAGAGAGAGAGAGAGAGAGAGAGAGAGAGAGAGAGAGAGATTCGTTGGGTACACATTTCTTTTAGAATGCAAAGGCCTAGCCTTCTAGGCTGTATCCACATTTCGCTATGATACAACATATCCATATATTCACGTAGTCAGCAGGCGGCCTGATATATCGCTCTCCATTTACATTTCGGCTGATAGAGAAAACGAGTGCACACGTACATCAGCGACCTCATCAAGCGCCCATCTACTTCTGTGCTATTGTGCGGTGCTTGGTAGCACAAAATATTACGCCCTGATGCGTTGACGCAAACAAGGTAAACGTGTAAAACACGAATCTTTCTTGACAAAAGTGCGCAGGCTGCATTCGGTACATCAGGGTATTGATGTCGTCCGCCATTGTCGCGACATTTTCTTTTAGACCACGAGAATCTGTCATGACAGAAAATCAAGAACAATTGCGTTTTGAGGAGATAGCCCGGGCTCACTGCTTCTTTAAGATGAACGCCGCAATCTTCTATCAACCGGAAAGAAATTACGAAATATTATGTACTGCTACTTCTTCGACAAAGGACTCTAGCCAACTCTATGGACACCACTAAAAATGTGTACGAACAGATCTTTGTTCGGCGACTCGGAAATGAATACTACGACAAGAATAAAGAACTTCAAATGATACTTGTGCGTGCATGCGCAGGAAGACACACACGTAATTCGGTTGCAAACGCAACGAGCCAATCCCAAATCCAAAGTAGGCGGCAGTGGGCGGTGGACTCTGTGGGAGATTACCTTTCTACGTCCGTGGAATGACGTATTCCCTGACGGTCCTATTTTGCAGAACCTTGACGGCCATACAACCGCACATGGGAAGTCGCTGGAAAAACATCCGTTTCGCCTAAGGAAAGGGAACGCTTTTTTTATGTTTTGCCTCCCAGATTTCCATCTAGCTATTTCTTAATGTAGCCATAAACAAGGCAAGCCATCTTGTAATTAGGAAACTAACTGCATCAATTTTTTTTATGAACCGGACTAGTGGTTGAAAACACCGTGTCATCTTGAGCCTTATGTATATCGGGACATAAAAAGTCCTAAAATTTAAAACAGGAGCATCCGAGTAACTGACTGGTGGATACTTCGCAGGATTTTGTGGCAGTCATCCTGGTAGTTGTTGTAGTAGCTGGTAGTAAAATCTGATAGCATTAGAAAAGAATTCGGACATATCAAACAGTTTGAGAAGGATCTACTATCACATTTGCTGGTATCAATAAACAGGAAATATGACATTATATAACAGAAAATAGACGGTAAGCTTTGAAAGCTGTAGACGTAAAAAATAAAGATTTGATTTAGTGGCTTGCTTAATACTCTATTTTTCAACCGAACGTTGACTCTTTCGTCATTCGTTCTGTCATCATCCTTTCTATTCGCTCACTCGGTGTCGCCTAGATTTTATATATATATATATATATATATATATCATCAATTCATCATTGATCAAAAATCAAAAAAAAAAATTGAAATAAGTTACATGTGTATACAGACAGCCCCGAAGATCGTGCCCAGTTTTCACTGGACTTCTGTGTACAGACAATTTGTTACTGGACAATGAACGAGAATTGTCAGATCTCTCGCTGCTGCAGCGCCAGTAACCGTAACGACGCGAAAGTTGAGTCTGTTCATGTCTGGTAGCTAAATTCGTTGAATCCCAGGGGACATTCGAAAGCGAGTGCAACCGGCGTTCGACGCTGACGAGGCAATACCCTTCTCCAGCTAATGTTTGAACTCTTCGCTAGCTGGCGCACTGGATCTTTTGTTTTCTCATCCTGGCTCCCCTAGAATAGACGGAATAATGATCGGAAGAGAAAGACCTTAGAGAATTCACCATAAAGAGCTCAGTCATATCCCTCCTCCCGGCCAGAAAACAGCGAGATAAAATGGAGTTCAAGTTTTCTTCAGGGTGGAATTTTTGACCCAAATGTAACGCTCGATGTATGACCGTAATAACCGGTTGCTCCGTAAATAAACTTTGGAAAAAATTAATTGATTTTCATACCCAACAACCCATTGCATACAGAAATAAATAATATGTGATGCATTTTTTTTAACAAAATGACTCCATAACGCTAGAGACAGTACATGCATTTTGTTATACCAGCTGTTTTTGACTCTTCTGGGCTACAACTAGATGTCTAAATTATGTTTACAGCGAACCTCGTAACCAGGATGCTCCGCTAACAAGATTTCTTACTGAAATACCAGTCAACACATGTTCTCGTAGATTTTTCTAACGAAATCTTTCAACATCCATGCGTTAATTCGTTATATGGTAGTACTTCAAGGCATCTTACTAGGAATATCACTCTGCAAAATTATCGTACAGCTAACTATGCTTGGTGGATTGATTGAAGTCAATAAAAGGGAGAAGTCCAGGCGATTGCCCGAAGTACGCCTTTTTCACTAAACAAACATAAACGAAAAAAAAAAAGTCGTAAATTATACTGATTGATTTTCTGTTAATCACAAACTACATCAATTCGACAATACTAGTCGTCTTATCAGTATGAATTCTCTCTACTAGATAACTCATCGTCCGTATCATACACTTCGTTGATTCCTGCATGCTGCTAATGTTGAGACTAATACCAAACGCTGCGCGCACTCACACGCACACACATACACACAGACACACACAGACCAGTGTAGGACTCAGCCTGATTGCTTTCTTTCTCGCCATTTTTCCCCGCTCGGATGACTTTGCTATCGATGTGATGTACGTTTCCCTCCGATCAGTGCCTTTCGCATCCATTTAAATTGTAAATCGTCACCAATGCACCAACGAACGAATAGCAAAGGTGGAGACAGCGCCGAAAGCATAGAGAAGAAGCAGCGGCTGAAGAACGATGCTGCCGAACAGAATTCTATCGGAATCAGAGTCGGACGCGATGGGATGAGGCATCGAACGCGAATTGGAGCTACCAAAGGAACTGAGGTGGTAGAGGCTTGAAGGCCAGATTCTCGTCTCAATCCTCGTGGCACTGCAGAAATCACCAAAGTCACAAAAAAGATCACCCATTGCTCTGTGCTCTGCAAGAACTGTATTCCGTTGACAAACATATGTATGTATGTATGTATCTAACGTATGCAGAGATATGCAGCTGCACTACGCTGCTTTTACGTGCACGCGTTGAATCGATATTGTTCTGTTAACAACGGCAATGCTAAAGCTGGCAGCAACTGAGCGAACCGGGCAAGGACAAATCGAAGCAGCTGGAGAGGCACCCGCATCCAGAATGACAAAGACTTATGTCAGGAGAAGTAGAAGATACTGAATACTTATTGGAAATGGCCTAGTCCACGCAAAAACGATTTCTTACTACTCGTAGAACAGGACGAAAATCAAGGTGCTTGATTTATATTTCGACTTGTACCTACACAATCTGTACGTATCAAAAGAAATACTGCATCGACAAGTGGAGTACGTAACATATAGGGCGCATAGAATCGCACTACAATATCGAACGAGGCATCTATGATGCTAAAAGTAGGAATCTTATAAGCGGGATAATCGTTTAATAGCTAAATAGGATAATAAATTACAATATATTACATATTTAAAAAGTAGAGATTAATTCTTCACAAAATTATAAGACGAATTGTTACATTCGTTCTACTAAATTCCTATTTAGTAGACCTTTTTGTTCAGATTATCTGAACCAAAAGGTCTACCACCGGCATCATACCAGCGACAGCTAGTAAAGCGAACAGCTAGTACTCTCAAGACGCCTAATCAAACACCGTTGTCAACAAGTTGAAGACAGTTGATCGTCCGCAATGTATGAGGTCTTGTCACTAGTTCTTATAAGATAGAGACTTTGCCTCTTTTACTTAAAAAGTTGCCAGTACACGCAGAAGTATGGTTCACCAACACAGTGCGTATCAGTGAGTTCTTAAGGATTCGCATAATACACCTCCGTGCCTTGATAACACCGTTTTGCCACTAACGTTTGGCAAGAGAGGTCAACAGGAAGTTACTTCCTAGTATTTTTTCTTAGTACCCTGATAGAAGTAAGTGTCTTTCTTAAGAAAGCGGGCGCTCTGGCAGAATATTCTAGATAGAAGGAAAATATGTTCTTATTGCGACACATGAACAGTCATGTATATGTTGACTCATACGAGGACTCGGTTGAAAAAACGTTTGTCGCTGCTGTAAAATTTCGAAAAAATATTGTTAGAGTAACACATTACTTTATTCCTCATATGTGTTGAGCGTACGATACGGGTCAACCATGACAGTTTGACGTGGGTGCTCCTGAGGTGTGACCTTCAATTTCAATCAAAGAGAAAGTACACATGTACATTCTACAGCATTAGCATGCTTCAAAGTGTTGCTAGCCTAAATGGGCTTTTGAGCGATGCGATGAATATCAATGAACGACGAGAATCTTATTTTTATGCAACAGTTTTTATGCTGGCCTCCCGAAATAGCAAATATCTTTGGTGTGCCCCCTTTAAAGCTAAAAGGGTATTGCTCACTATGGATTCAGAACGGTGTTATCAATACAATTACATATATCTCTATGTGAGACCTGTAAAAATTAAAAATGTGCCACTTCACAAAAAATTTTACATTTTAACGATAAAATCATAATTTTATAATAGCTACTGTATAGAACCTCCTCTTGAAAGCACCCAAATCAGACTAACATAGAAGACACGATGAAGCTAGAAAACTTTTAACCTACTTGCATACAAAATATGAATCGATGTAAAATTCTACATTGCGCCTTTATAAGCTCGGGCAATACTCGATGCGCAGCATATGACGTGTGGCTGCGTTCGCATGCACAGACGCTTTGAAAATATTCAGAATCATCGGTCATATCAGGCGTAGGGAAGGTCTTCGAATGCAAGCTGTGGCGGCTGCCTCAAACAAAAAAGGTCCAAAGTGATAGTAACGGTAGTAGCAATAGCAGGAGCAGCGCAGGGTAAGCCAAGCCAACTAGAGCGCGCCAGGCTGCCTTTCCGTTAACTATTGGCCGTAGTAACGGCAGGCGTTTTCATGACGAGGAACAAGAACGGCCTATAGACGAGAGTAGTTACTGGAAGTTTTAGGGGTACAGCCCTCTACTGGTCTGACCTGCCTACGACTAGCATCGATATATGATAAGTGGACGATGTTGGTTAGGTTAGAAAACATACGATTTATCGTCCGTAGCTAGGACTTTTCTATTTCTTTTCGACAAGGAGTACCGTATAGGGACAAAGTGTAACTTCACTACGGGATCGCCTCTTTCTGGATCATTTGGTTCTTGTCAGCGCCATATTATTCTTTATAGCCGTAAATTTGTTTATCAGTGAAACGGTAACGGACAAAAGTGCTATTTTTTTTTAGCTAAGAAATACATGACGGCAGCAAAAGCAAGAGACCATTAGGTTTCAATATGACGGCCAACAACGACTAGGTCGTCGTGGTATATTGGCACTTTTTACAAGAACGCTACTCTCAATGATTGTGTTAGCCAACCGTGCGCTGATCTACGAAATCTGCTTGAAATGTGGGATAAGGGGGAAACTAACAATGCAAGAAAAAATTAAACTATGTTTTTTGATATTAGAAGGTAAATGTCCAAGACGTGCGACTATATAAATTCAAGTTAATCGATGTGCAAGTATACAGAAGAAGTGCAGTGCATACGGTTACAATATCCTTTATATCTGGCATTAAACAAACAATACACAGCGTCGTTTCCTAACTATCGGCAAGTCAGTGGTACGCAAACGATACTCCGAGTAGATTTAAAAGAAGAATTGAATTTTTCCTCCGACCTACGATTTGCGCACGTGTGAGCTGCAGCATGCGTCAAGCTTCAGGCCCAGGGCCTAATCTTGCGGAGTCAAAACGAGAAAACATCACAAACATGCGGCTGAGTCGCAAGCTGTCTTGACTATTTCCTTGCCTTTTTACTTTTGCTTTCAACTCTGTTTTACTTTGTCTATCAGTGGTATTTTGCTCATTAATTAAACTAATCTCAAAAGAATAGTTGCTTTCACTGACTCAGAAATCTGCCTCCCTGTCGTTTTCCTTTTGCATCTTAAACAACATTACCTTAAAGAAATGCTACAGTTTTAGTTCGGAAAAAATACTAAAACCGAGTACGTAGCAGTGGGCATGCAACATAATATAACCTTACGTCTATCCAGATCATTCAAAAGCATCCTAATTTTTCAATCCAACAACTATATGTAACTCTCTTGACTATCACCGCGTGTTCCTTGAAGGACCGAATTAGACATTGGTCGAAGACATCTACAGAGCGCTATTAAGGCATGAGAAGATCGATGGACCACAATCAGACCGGCTAATACGCAGTCTACGAGAATATAGAAAAACAAAGCTATTGCACATATCACAACCGAATCTGAATTACATGAAACATCACATCACTGATGCATAAACTATCGACAAATAGGTATAATTATACCTATAGTACTGTATTTACTCAAAAAGAAGAGAAGTTCAAACGACTGACATCCTGTCTGAACATGGATGCAGCTATCAGCTTTGTTACAGCCCCGCAGTGGACAACATCAAGGATAAAAACTAAATATTATAAGAATGCTAGCGTATGTAATAGACATATAACAGTAAGCCTGATATAACTAACGCGCTAACTTTGGATTATTTCGAATTTTTCGTAGTTCCTGCAAGCGGCTTGAATACGCATAGTGGCCATGATTTCCGTTGGAGTTCTCAAATAGCAGAGCTTTGAAAATATCTTTCTCCAGATAATATGTAAATGAACTTATAAAACATCCACATGTGTTTGGCATGTCTAGTAATCCGACAGCATAACAACATAATAGATACCATTTGAATGCAATAATATCGAAACAGCAATTAGGAGTTGGACGCAAAAACACGTGCTTTCATTGCATCAAGTTATTCTGACAATAGTTGCTATTTAATTATGTCGTGTGTAACGTGTATATAATCTACTAAGTAGTTTCAACTCACAAGTTCAATACAACAGAGAAGCTGGTTAAATAAAAAGGTATCAGACCCACTAGAAGCGTGTCAGTGCAAACATGAATAACGGGGTAACTTCTCAGAGAGCGGCGATATTAGCGACTACTTCAAAACTAAATAAATTACTTCAGGGTTTTTTATTGAACACGAAGACGTTAAGCTTGATGTAGTTGCTAATGTTTCTGCTTCTTGCTCGGTATGAAAATGGTCAGTAAATTTCGGGGCGTATGATATATGGGGTCTATGTATTCAAAAGACAAAATCTGTATGATCTATATATTAGTGATTACTTATGCTCATTTTTTTAAATTATTGTTATCCTATAAATGGACATATTTAAAAGTATGCTCAAACCGCATTTGTCGTCTTGACAAACGTTATCCGCTCGTTTGTATTGGAGCCAAGCCCTAAGCGGGGAGCACGTGCTACATCAGTATGCAAATACCCTGATATTCCAAAAATTAAATGCAAAAAATGCCAGAGTAAACTTTTATTAGATCAGCATACTTCTTCATCATATACTCGAAAAACGGCAGCGACATTAACCGGTTAGCTAACGGGCTTTGCATGGCTCTCTTGTAAAAAAAAATGAAGTAAATTGTATTTGGACAGTTTTGAGTAGAAATGGGGATTGGCGTAGGATGTCTTGTCCGCACGATGAAGCTGGTTTCAGAAGTATATTCTAAGCAGTTAGAAGATAAGTTAATCTGATAATAAACTTGAGCATAGAGATTTTCCATTTCGGTAGCCAGTCACTATTTTTATGGTAAGGGTATTGCTGTTTACATTTGCAATGTACAAAGAAATTTTAAGCGCTGGAACTCATTGATCTCACGACATTAAAGCTGAGCCGTATTCGAAACTATGCCAAATACCACATGTTAAAGCCTTATTAGTTAAAGTGTCTAGATTCCTATACGATAAGAAAAATTTAAATCACAAAAAGTTACAGATGAGAACGTCGCCAGTCAATTTCTGATATTGCTCAAATTCTTCATGTAGTCTAATGTACGCACCTATTTTCCAAACGAACATCGACGATAAAGCTAACATTCTACCGAAGTTCTACTAGTTCACAATATGATTCACCACATTTTTCATTCTATTAAACCTGTCTATAAAAATTCAGTTGCTACAGAACGAGCTGACAACATTGCCTAAGTTTATGCGCTAATGTTTACATTATGGTGTGTGTATTTTGGCGCAATCTGCGTATGCTGGGCGTAAAATTGATTTCTGCACCCTCAAACACTTTCAAGAACTACAATACACTTTATCCACTATGTAAAAAGATGGGTTACACGGAAAAATACGTTGTTTGGTTCAGGGGCGTCTCAATATATTCGATCTTATAACATCTTTTTGGTCTTGAGACATGCTCAATTAAAAAAAAATAATCATCGCTCAATCCGTGCTTAAACCATGCATATAATCCGAACTGGAAATCAATGACTGTCTTAATTTTTCATAGGACTACTATATCTCAGTTAAAAAAAAATCGTCTATTAGTTGTTATTCTTTGAACTTCTGAACGCGCACTTGGGTCGACCTTAAAACTGAATATGATGTTTATCAGGTTTGTGATATTTTTCAACACAGGCCAATTTGACTGCAGTGAGTGTCTTAGCCTTAAACCAAGTATGTGCAATGTATTTTAACTTCAATATTTTGCTGTAAGCGCCGAAAGAAAGTAAAACTGACCCAAGTCTAGCAAGTTTTATACAAAATTTACTACTGATCTGTCATTAGCTTGTATACTTGATTAGTGTTCCGAAAACACACCCCTGGTTCAACAAGAAATCGCTGACAGTCTGTTTGAGTAGGCTTAGCCTTAAAAAGGCCGAAGATTATATTTTTATGGTTCTTCAAATACTAGATCGTTTAATTATAATAATTACGATTACTCAATAGTTTCGTTGTGTTTCTCTAATAATTTTCAGAAAGAAGCCTACCGTTCGAACTAGTCGCTATACCTAGAGTATGCCGTAATTTACGTGACATAGTGCGAGCTTTTTCACCCTTTCTAGCGGAAAAAGGTTAGAAGATACTTATTGCTACCTACTAACGTTAAACCTTATAAATGTATCAAAATGGAAACGGTCATACTTTGTCCAATGCGACTAGCGCAGATATTTGCCAAGGACGTAAAGCAGCTCTCAGTGAACCTTGGTATTGAACTTCGCGTTCATAGACTATCAAAACAATTATATATACATATATATATATTATTTACTCTTTAGGTACTGTCGCACCTTGCTATCGTTACGGTATGCGTTGAGTAGAATTCAGTTTATATATATAAGTATATAAATGATATGCGAGGAATGGTTAAATATGCTAATACAATGTTTTTGGATACAAAAGGGAACACCCTGCACATGTGTATGCATTTAGATACTTTCCTATATACTTTTGTCCTAGTTAGCTTCAACACTACTGCCAAGTCGACTGCTACCCACTAGGTCCACTCATGCACAATCATTGTTTTTATTGCCATGTTAAAGCCAAAACGACTCTACGGTAAATAAACTTTTTCAAGCCAGTAACTTAATTAAAAATTATCCTTACAAATTTATACTTTTTCTCGAGTTCTGCAGGTACACAACGCCAGTAATTTTCACTGCAGTTGGAGAAGAAGTCGTTCTTCTCCACTTACGTATAAATTTAGTTATCCTGCTATTGTTGACGCCGCTGTCACATCCTATCACAACGTATCCGTTCCCGTCTCTTCTTTATATCCCCTGTTGCCTTCGTTCTTACTTGGTACCATACAACCCTCTCCTACGCCGGAGTACGCCCGTCAGTGTATTGTGGCGGATGTACACCCGCTTCCCTATCTTCGCTTTTTCGAGCAGCGGGAGCGGAAGGGCGTCACTATAAACATAGGAACGGATCTTTTCTATAAGACTGCATATGGGGAAGTTACCCCCCGGGCTTCGTGGCTTCCTTTCGTTAGCCTCTAGTAAGCTCGCTCAGCGCTAAGATCCCCGACACCCCTTCCCTTTACGATTCTCCGAAGCTGCCTCCCCAGACTCTCCCAGTAGCCTTAGCAGCAGCAAAAACAAACAACTGCCCGAGCAGAAATCGGACTGGGTCAAAGAGAAGGAACGGCCACAGGATTCAGACCACCTTCCACACAGCAGGACGTACGGATGTAGACAGAGGTGTAGTTACACGCACGCGTCGCGTTACCCCCGTCAACTATCGCTAACGTAGCGGCACTGTGACCGTTCTTATTGGTTCCATCTCTACTTTCAACTAGCTGTTGGCTTTGATATTTGATAAGCCACTACCAATGCTGCCGTTTCTAATGACGTTGTAAAGAAGTGAACTGCCAGGCAAACCTGCTGCTGTGGCCAAGGGATAAAACAGAAACTTAGCTTATGTGCAGTTCTACACCAGCTAGCATGCAAGCGTTTTTCAGCATTGCCGTATTTTGGCGAATTCGCTCAGGCTGTTAGTGAAATTACGTACACGTCAGTCTCGTGCAGTGGTGACATAGTCTTTTTGCGATACTTGCTAGTTGGACCTTATTAAGAGGAGGGGATCGACAGAAACAATAGCGACGTCGCTGAAAGTAGGAACAACGGTGAAGAGATAGCATTTCAGATATCTGTGTCAGCTGTTGAATTTGGTTCAGCAATGGCCGTTCTACCATACAACAGATTCCACCGCCTGCGAAGGGGTCTCGTTGTGCTTAATCTCATCTACATCGTATGTAAACTCTAGCAATTTGTAACGTACATAGCACAGGGGTAGTAGCACTACTGATAAGGGAACGACTGATATTAATAGTAACAAGAATAAGGGTAGATGGTGGTTATGTCTGTTATTTCGTCTATAGTTTGGATGTCCGCTTGTCTGGGGGAATGACAGAAAACGATAAGTTCCAGCGAACTGTCGCTAAGTGGAATTAATGTTATGCTTCATACGACATCGGGCTAGCTACGTGTACATGGAACAATAGGACATAGGCAGCAAGCGATACTCAAGCGTTATTTTACTGTGTGCCCTAATAGAGGTGGGGAAAATTTGTTACACGATTTCAACAGTTTTTCAGCTATCTTTTCTCAACAGGCTTCAATGAGTGAATAAGTGCCAAAAACAACATAGTACATACCATACATTTCATCAGCATACTATGGCACGTTTGACGGCTCGAACCTTGTAAAGACAATACCATATTCAGTTAAATTATTCCGTTAGGAAGTTCGTTTGTGCTACGGCAAAGGTGACATGCGGCGATCTTCCCGACTGTCAAGAAACGACCATAAATGCACTAGTACTGGGACTTGTAACTTCGTATTAGACAGGGTGGAAGTTAAAACAGTCTTTTAAATAGAAGATGACAATAGGAAGTACACATTGATTTCTGTCCTCATATACGTAGGTGGAAATTTGGACGATAGGTAAATGGTATTTCCTCTGGCGATTGTAGCTCGATAGTTGTGTTGTGAAAACCATATATTTGAGCATATTTACGTAGAGTTCGTTGTTTAGGCCGCTAAAGCACCTATACATTGTTCTACATACAAAGGAAATAGGGCACATTAGGTTTGTAAAGGGCAGATGTTACTTCATACCTTATTGATATATATATATTATATGATAACGTGTATCTTCGTGATCTATAAATGGCGAGAGAGTTTTCTACGCCGTTTCAGATATGCTATGTTTATGTGTGATGGCCATAAGTGTTAAGATGTTATTATCGTTATTATTATTAATATTTTTTGTGGCTGGTAGGGACAGGAGGATATTGGCGTTCGTTTAAAGTAAGCAAGTAACTTATAAGGGTAACTGAACATGAATGAATGGGAAGTGAATTTTGAGTTAAATGACTGCTCAGCCACATAATCCACCGTTGAAGATTGATATTTGTCATACAATATGCAATACATTGCAAAGAATCGTGCTTTACTTCTATCTCGCATAACGTCGTCGTATTCATGGCCTTCCAATTTGTCCTTTTTTCAGTTTTCAGCACTTTTTAATAGCAGGTTTGTAATCAATCAATCAATCAATCAAGAGAAAATCGATCTACAGATTTCTAGCTGCGTTGATATGGAAGCGCATTGTTTCTTTCCTTTTTTGTTACTATATTTCGTTCAATCTGTTATTGTCCATAGGTAGATGTTGTCCCGATCAGTATAGAAGCGACCATCCGATGCCAATCGGATCAGGCGTGTAGGCCAGTCGTAACTCTATTATTATTCAATGAGACCGATGTTTCTTTGTCTCTAACAACACAGCATGAGCGTTACGCTCTTGAGCCTCATTATATCTCACTGTAAAATAGACTACGATTTCTACAAGGATCTACAAGTATTACGTAATTCTGTTTGGCTGCAGCTGGCAAACGCACGATCCTCTTAAAGGAGACTGGCTAACTTAGACTACTAAAAATGAATGAAGGACTAAATTTAATCAGGCTTAATCTAGAGAATTCGCACAAGCTACATTTGTTTGTTTTCTGAGGTAGGTAGGACAAAGGAGACGCATAGAAGTCAATGCGAAATCGTAACTAGGTTAATTTCCATGGTCGAAAAGACGCTTGCTATAGGATAACACTGAGTGGACCCTATGCCACCCGAATGTCAGTTACATACTATGTTTTCCTGTTAGAAGTTCATTGCTTGCTTTAATGATCAAGCAATATACAAACTAGCAAATAGATAGCCGATTTCCGTACGCCCTATAAACACGCACAATTTTCATATACGCTATAGACAGATACTTGCATCTTGTCAGTATATGGATCTAGTTTGATGGGACCTTGTGGAAGTATAAGTGTGCTTAAATGAGCCTAGTATAGTTCATTGAGAAGACAGTCTAACATTGATGCTCGTATTACTCTGTGGTCATTGCTTACCTGGCGTGTATATGCTCTTAGCTATTGGCTACCGGTTTGGTTACCCTCGTCTGGTTGAATCATGAAGCGACCGTGGTATCGTTACGTGCCTATGGAGGAATTTTATGGTCAAGCGGATTGCTTGTTCTGATCGCACTAATTGGACTCATCGGAACCCTTCAACATCATCAGGTTAATTGACGTTTCAGTTTTGCTATAATATATAGAACAGCACGTTCAAGTTCTTTCAACGATCGAGCATAGTCAAATACTTATACATACTATTTTTTTTTTTAATTCTGGTCGTCCGTCTTAAGTTAAGCCACTGCATGTAGATAACGTGAAACCGCTTAGCCGGAAAACTTGCAAAGGTCACTGCAGAAATAGGCGAAATCATACATTGCACGAGCACACGACGTAAAACATTAATTTAAAGCTATATTATATGGTACATTTTAAAGAAAATGCGGGTACAACACCGAGGCCACATGAGATCGTTTTTGTGTACTTTCGAGGGCTTGCTGCTAGAACATGAAAATACCATATAGTGGAAAGGAGTATGTCTTCGCAATATATACGCTTGATTTTGCCGTTCTGTCGGTGACTTCATCAGGTAATTTTGTTCTTCTACATGGTGATTCTTTTCGTCGTGTTCGTAGGCCAATTCAGCGTCTCATGCTCGCTGCATATCATCGATAAATCACAGCAAAAGTAAGTAATTTCAACTGCAGATGACGCAAAGAGGACGTACATTTCGAGAATACATTAGAAAGCTGGAGCATTTGTTCAAAATGTTCGATTCTGCACTACCAGGCTAGTTTTGATAGGCCGTTCCGTACACATTGCACGAGGACACACTTTACATATGTATGAAACGAATAGAGAAAAATAACATCTATAGAAAAGAACTGACTTTTATGTACGGAAACGTATGTATGGTTTAACTTACCAGATCAAGGGTTGTTATAGCCTTGTTATTTGCCCTTTGTAGCCTTGACGTTCAGTTCCACTGGCATATATTTGCTACAAAACCAAACGATTGATATATATATGGTCATTGTTGAGCTTGATCGAAGATATCTCCGCACTCGAACACAAAACACTTCCCGCTGGAGAGGCATTTCCAAACCGCTTTGGAAAAGCAGGTACATAGTGGAACTAATTCTTCGTCGCCCATCCCTAGCAACGATCGCTCTTGCAATTCGCTTTTATATGCTTCGAATTTTTGTCTTTCAAATTTTCGGTTAGAACGACCCTGTCTTCTCGCTGTTTCGTACACCGTTTTTAATTTTGATCTTCTATTTTATCGGATAAAAACACCTTATCTTTACGTTATAGACTGCATTCCGGTAGTCCGATTCATTAAACAGTTGCTTTTTGCAATTGCTTCCCTTGTAACTCCGTAAACTTGTAAAGTCTTGTAAAACCTTGTAACTCCCTTGTAAAGTCCGCTACTCTTCCGTGAGGTCTTTTCGTAATCCCATTGCAAATTTACCTAATAGTCACGAAAACCATTGAAATTTGCTTCAATATCGTTGTTATCGGATAGATAAGAGCGACACTAAAAAAATAATAACGACATTTCGACGATGAAAAAAGAGGAGGAGGAGGAGGAGGAGGAGGTCAGATACCCAAACCGTATGTAAGGCTCGAACGTTCAGACGCATTGTGCTGACAACAACTGCCCCATAAGCAAGTGTCGTCATGAGGTAGCAGAAAGAAACCGCAAACAAATATTTAATTTAGGCGCGATTTCCTTAATCAATATGCGAAATCTCTAAATAGCTTGATTAGATTGCCCTACCACTATATATGCGTGTATTGTATTCAACACTCTAATTGAGCGTAGTATAGGCTTATAGTAATACGTGCAGTGACATTGGCTGGTTCCTATGTGGGAATTGCAGAGAACTTGCACACGAGAGCTGGGAACACGCGTCGCCAGAATTACGCAATGATACGGAGGTCAAGCTCCGATGCTGCGGCTTCGGCGAGAACTCGACCGAAGCTGAGGCAGGATGTTTTTCTGATGCTCTCTGCTGCTCTCGGCCCGGAAACGACTGCAGGTATGCCCTTCAATATTATCGCACGTTCTTGGTTCTTGGTAGAGCCCTAGGTATATGAAAACCAGTTTGTTATCTGTGTGTGAACTTGGAGGAATCAGGAGTGAGCACATGGAGACTTGTTATTTCCCTGTGCCCTCCAGTTTTCTGAATACGATAATTTGTAATAAACAATCTCTATAAACGGTCATATGTTGCAAGTACATTAGGGCTAGATGTAGTCCTCGCTAGCTAACTAACGTGCTAAGTACTTTCATGTTATTCAGGTGTCCACCCTGTTGGCCAGTTCTCCAAGAGAGATTCGAGCGCGGACTTTCTATGGTAGGCACCATAGGAGGCCTGTTCTCATTCTGCCTTCTACTTGGCGTATGGACGACGTTCTGCTATCGCAACACCAAGGATCCAGCTAAACTGATGTCGCCTAATGCGTTCCTCTAAGTAACCGACATTGCATCAACCGGATAAAGACTGTGCTCGATGAAAATTAGCGGCACCAGCCAACGTCTCGAGAATAAAAATGGAATACCCATCAAATCGTTGCTAGCACCATGTCCTTCAATGGTCCATGGAGTCCGACTCTATGATTAATGCCCGAATCCTCTGCAACGCATATGTTCAGCTTAATAATCGGCCATCATGAAACGACCTGAAGAACGGCGTTTAATATGATTACGTACATTATCGTTTGCACGGAGAACTGGGCAAGTTAGAATTCAGCAAGTTGATCTAAAAATGAGAACTTCACTCAAATAGACATTTGGAACAGGGACTTCACGGTTAGCTGTGGAGCAGCTCTCGTTCAACAATTGGCTAAAATGCAATTTGGACAACCTTATAACAGCTTATAACGGAAATAGATATGATGTCATCATTCGTATTAATGGCTAACTACTATTAAGGATTATATGCCTCATAACGATACACTTTTCCAAATTAACCTCAATAGGGAACTAAGGCGCATCATATACTTAAATAATATTTAACTGGAACCCATTTGTAGCGTGTCTCCCTCTAGCGGCCACTTCGTGCTGTAGTACAAAAGCTTCACACGCTTCAGAAAGCGGAAAAAGTGACATACAGTCTTACATCAACTGTGAGCAAACATAGTATTCAAAGCTACAAAACGAGCTATACAAAACTATAACTTGTTACTTTTTTTTGTTACCTGATTTTTGTTACTTGATTTGTTTCGGGTAGTCGTTAATTAATTTTAATGATATGGAGCAGAGAATGGAGACGATTAATTATGTACACTTAATTATATTACTACCGACGGAATGTAAAGGGCTTTGAAATGACGAGGCAAGCATATTCGCCAAAATGCCGCCATTGGCCAAAGCGATCTTGAATAAACGTATAAAATGAGAATTTTCAGCTAACCAGTTTATCATACACTTTTAGTGATAATCGTGCTCCGCAAGCGTAATCTGCTACCCGATCTAACCGCTCGATATTTTCTTTGTGTAGAAACCTCATTGTGTCCCGTATTTGTCGGTACTTTATTAACTTCGATCACTCATCGACGACCGTGAATTTGCAGAAGGGAAATAGTTTTTCAAAATGGATAATTTTACATGTTACAGAAACTGGATTGAGCAGAACTTTTAACTTTACGTATGCGACCCATTCTCTGGCTAATCGTGCGTAACAACTTGCAAAGAGCCTGCAGCCTTGACAAGAGAGGATCTTGGGTACAGCAAACTTCAATGAAACGTTTTGTGATACTTCGCCACGCTTGAAAAGAAACAAGGAACGAAGAATATTTGACTCTATTCAACCGTTGAGCTTCACAAACTTGGCATAAGGCAGACGTTCAGACCGTCCGCGTCTTATGCCGTACAAGCAGAGGTGTAACAGAAATCCCGATGGAATATCACCAGACCCAGACACCTGAAATAAACGTGCAGGATTAATATTGACCTATGAAATGAATGCTCTCCGCATCAGTTAAATCACTGGGCAGTTCTCTTTTTCTGTAGCCCGATGTAACTTGCTTGGTTCTGCTACACGACAAATAGATCTGCAGATTTTTCGCTCATGAAAAAGCCGTAACAAGAAGATATTCAACGTTACGATTATTCCATAGGTTACTGGCCGATGTATTTTAGACATCGTTTGTTATAACAACACCAAACGACAGCGCTAAGAGGCCCTGATTGGAAAGAAGCGATTTTATCTATACTCGAAAGCATTTCTATTCGAGCCGTTAGCAGCATTGTGCACTAACTGACATAAATCAGTAGCAGCGAGGCATATTCATGACAACGTATAATAACAGACAATAGTTTATCGAAGGCAACCATATTAGAAAAGTCAACTGAGAGTACAGAGGCCTGCATCGACCGATAGGACCTTTTGCTAAGGATCAATTTCTAAATACTGGAACAGAACGGCTGGTAGATAACGGTCGGCATAGGTATCATAATGCAAGAACCCCAAATCGAATTTGTTTAGTATGAGTTAGCAAGACCCGTAATTTTTTGTCATGTTTATTAAGAAGTCTCAGGAAAATCTGCACAAAGCTAGATTAGCCTTCAAGATCTAGCCAAAACATATGTAGATTCTAGAGGAAAGGCTTAAGAGCTATGATCGTAGGGCGACACGAGAGGGCGATCCGATATTTGCTTGTATCACTTTTAATTATTTGCAGTTTAACGAGATTCGAAACGGATAAAAGGCTACTGTGCATATAGGAAATATACGAAGAGTTAGGCCAGTTATGGTGATTTAATTTTGATTATTGGTAAAAAGTGACAGATTCACGAGCAGACCCATCCAATTACCAGGCCAACGAATTGTTTACAATTTGTCCACAGCACTGAAGCAGTTTTGGAAAAATGATCTAGGTCCACAAAGGCTCCCCCAAGAGGTAATTGCGTGTTACATTATTTTGAATGAAAGATGCAAAATATTTCGGATTTAACGTTGTAGTCGAGTTTCTAAAGCTCGGTTGATAATGTGTTCTAAATATCAAGGCCTGAGTTAGCTATAGTTCTGGGAATTTCAAAAAGAAGCTGTAAAGTTTACAGTCGTCGTCAGTCATTTCACCGTCAATAAGGTCGTATCTATTAAAGTTTCTGTTACACTATATAGCTATGCAGCTCTCTCTGTGTGTTTATGCTCGGATTCGAACCTAGGCCACAACGTGCACCTAAGATTAGCACGCGATTAATCAGCTATGCAGCTCCATAGAGAGGTGACCAGGAAAAGATGGCTCTTGTATTGCGCGAATTTTTTTTGGTGGCATTTCCAAAGTGATTCCTTTCTTTTATCATGCCTATCACATGATTTCGCTTACGGATCGCAGAACTTCTTCTGTTTCTTCATGAATGTTCAGTTTCAGTTCTCTGGGCAATTCCGCTTGAAAAACGTAAATTTTACTATACCCCTCCCCTCCCTCCTACACACACACACACGTAAGCCTCGTAGCTGGTCACCTTTGTGTCATTCGTATCATTGAATATTGCGAGTATATCGGCGTTAAAACGCTTCAGCGATTACAAAAATGTAAGAACGCATTTCCAGGAGAACGAAGCTTGTTTCTATAATGACAACACTTCAGTCTTCTCAGTGAGTATTGCCTAAGTGGCGTCCTCAATAACTTTATAATCTTTGCTGATTATTTCGTCTTTCTTTACGTTGCACCGCCTTAGTCTGTGTACCGAACCGAACGTAACAAGAAGACATGATGGTTTTATTTAAACGAAGTGGAAGAATTTGGGTACACATTCAGAAAAGATCATGCGTTTTCTGATTGATTTAACGCCTGAGGCAAGCGCATTTACTAGGGTTAGTTGCACTCGGGTCCGCTACGGACGAACTATGAGTCTGCCACTTTATTTATTAATACATGACTAATATTTGAAGCTATCAAGAACCCGCTGAAAACCCTGCCGGTATTTGAACTTCAAGAAGCCAATTAGTGCTTAATAACCAAGGCGAACATAACGTACCAAAAAAAAACTAGCAGCTATAAAGTGATGGAACGGTAATGCGACAATCAAAGGATACCTTACGTCATCTGTTTAATGTTTGGCAAGCTCTGAGTACTTTTTAAACGGATTTCTCTTAATTTTCAATTGAAATGTTTTAGGGAGCCTTATGAAACATGCTTATCGAAGCATTTCTTGAGAGAAATGCAAAAACATTCTTTCAACCCAAAAACACTACCTTGCTGACACGCCTCAATAGACCTTGACAATTTTAGTGGAAATGCAAAAAAGTGTATATTTTGCCATAAAAAAGGCCACAAACTGTAATAGCTTTGTCGTTTAGGTGACACTGAGATGGCATTTTTTTTTTACGTAGAAGTTTATGTAAAGGAGGTATTTCGTGTACCAATCAAAAGCTTTTGCTGAACAGAATTGATATAATTTACGTCCATGAGCCTAGGTCTCAGTCTCAGTTTTGGTGGAAAATGCCGTTTAACGAGCGAAAGTTTAACTGGAGAATCTCTGTCAGGGGGTTTATACATACGCACACGTCTAAAATTAATATTTTTGGGTGAAAATTTCCAAACGGGTTTCCCTGTGAAACCATGAGCTGAAAGAATGTTTTAAGTGTTTTTTAAGCGAATTCCTAATAAATATCGATTCGAAAATTGAAGAGGCAAAGGTGAAGTTGATCTTCCCTAACGTATTTTTAGAGATAAACGCGTAAGTGTCAAGCAAATATATATTTAACTATATATTAATAATGAAAATAAAAATCAATACCGAAAGCAACAAAGTCAATACATCAAATCATACATACATATATATCGTCATGAAGAATAAAAGAATAAAAACTTCTATCAATCTTAATTTTATACAGTATATGTTATTATTTCTTAGTAAAAATATATTGAAATTCCATGAACCCCATTGATGTCCAAGAACAGGATAGGTTGGTCGACACCATCGCCGATAAATATTCATTGAAGATCAACGAAGACCAACTCGATTCACGTATGTTCCTTAAAGGTCGGCCGACACTTTTCATATGGGTTCCGAAAACGAAATCAATCATTACATTATAGAAATCTTACGGGACAGTTACTAGGGCTCCTGAACACACCTATTAGAATCAGAAATAATAGCACAATCGTAACGGGCTGGGTGGAATAACTCTTGATGTATATTTACTATAGTCTATGTTAGACTGGCTGTAAAATCAACAAATCGAATAAAACAAAAGTAAAAAAAGTGTGGAGTAAAGCCCGCAGGTCCGCTTAGTAAGTATTATATTTATCTGCTTTTATACATTTATCGCCATCTCCGAAAGCGTTATAAAATAGGTCACCGAACTGACTCAAGGCTTCAACGTAGGCGAACGCGTAGACGGAGCGCACTTGATTCTTTATCCTATTATATTCTACTTTATTGTTTGCCGTAGTATGCTTATCAGTCGGAAATCAAAATGATTTTGTGAAATGACCTGGGGAAGACTGTTTCCGCGGATCGTCGTTTGAGAACCGTTTATCTGCGAAAGTTTTATCGGAAAAAACAAAGATAACTGGGATGAAGAGGAAGTTGTATAAAGTATTTTTTATTTATATAAAATTTTCCACTGATAAGATGAACGCCTTTAGACACCATTAGGGCCAGACTTTTCCTTTGAAGTTATTCTAAAATAAACACGGCTGTTTTAACGATGTTTTTGCACGTGCTAGCAATTTTGTCCCTAACAATAATGCTTATCTAGAATAACCATTGGTCACCGCAATGATATTTTCCACCTGAGATCCAAACTAGTTTGAGTCATTTTCAAAATATGCCTGCCTGATTCCGCAAGTAACTTTTCAATAGTAACTATACGTCAAGCTATATTGGTAGGTATAAGCTCGCTGAAGTGTTGCTTAAATACATGACATCAAAAAAACTCTATCGTGTTGGTAGTGGGCCGAAACTCCTAAAAACGCATGGGTTCATAAAACTGGGCTCTTATTGATATCGAGTTTTGGCGGAGAACATATGCTAGCTGCGACAAGATTCGTTAGAAGTTCAATGCTGTATCTTGTATACTACCATGGTACCTCGTTCTAATAGTTAGTTCCAAACTCGTGTGCTGTATGGCACTTAGAGAGATGCCCTATACTATTTTAAAATACGTACACCGTTTATTGAATTTTTTATAAACGGTATATATAAATTTATATTTTAATTTATATAAACGTACTCTTACCAATCGTCTAGTCATCGAGCCAAGCGACATTTGTCCAGGTAAGCCAGTTTATCTATTCGCAAACCCATACATCAACACCAATATCCGATAAACATTACTTTATAAGAATTCTAATACAATGGTTCCAATCATCTCATTTTACTTATTACATACATATATATATATATATATATATATATATGCACAATCGAACGAAACAAGCGACTAAAACTTAAAACGGCATTTTGCAATTATAAGGTTGCAGTTGGCTTTTGTCCTTGTATTAGAAAAAAAAGCCGCTGATGTTGTCGATCAGATAGAAGAACAACGCTCAGCTGTATGCATCTACTAACAGATGCAAGCATAACGGTACGAGCCACTGACATTGAACGCACCGTCTTATCTCGTTCACCTTTTTATATTACTAATGAATAACTCTATGGATACACTGTGATCGTGAAACAGTTCGATCGTATTCAATCATCTCCCAAAGGCAAATGGTCAAATTAGCGTGACCAACTCGAGATATGCCTGTGTCTTTTAGCATCATGGGCGACGCAAACGCGCCCCAACCAGTGATACCAAAGTTGAACAATGAATAAAAATGTTTTTTTTTGCGGTTCACTTATACGTCCTCCAATGAAGCAGATGTGTGTACCATTCAAAATGGTAGCAAAAAAAAATAGGGCAAATGGACTAGATATACCACTCCGGACGCAATCAGGTCGCGAACGTCGAACTATCTAACGTAGTAGCATTAATGAGAGAGCTTTTGAGATGCGAAACATATACCCAGCATATAACATTACGTTCTTTGCTGTGTCAGGCGTAGCATTCGATTGTTTAGCGTTTACGTCGTAGTGCGCGGCAAAACGTTTCCGATTACTATTTATTAGAACGAGTATTTGGTTCTATCTCCTCACAGAATATACAAAGGTATTACGGATTTGATGGCGCGCTAAAAAGCTAGTCTTATTCCTCTTGAAATCCACTGAGAAAACAAGGGAACGGTTTGGTCCGCTTGTATCAGCGTTCGCGTTAGTACGTGCACGAAATCTTTAACGATGACGTAAAATCAACAACTTAAATACACTGCCCGAAAGCAGCATAGAAGATATTACAGAAAGACATGATGGTCAAAAAGCCAGGAAAAGTAGAGACTAACCAATAGTCATGAGCAGTTTCCAAATTAATGTAAAACCCTAAAGGAACTACGTATGGAACAAACGACATGAGCATTTTGCCGTGACCGCATCTGCCTAACGGTGCGTCCCTTCCTGTAAACTTTCAATAAAACTCGTTCTTTTACCATATTAATTTAGGTGTTCGTTAAGTAGTAATACGCGATAGATGATTACTTTACGCATAAAGCCACGACCCCCATGAATAATATTTGTCATTTTTGGCGAAATCGATTCCACGATTAGGCTACGGGTTGTCATTGAAGCGACTGACCACCATTAAACATTTAATTTCCGTTCCGTAAAAAAAAAAAAAGGCACTCGGATCAATCCCTCAACTATGCATTTGTTCAGTTCATGTCCATTCAGATCTTCGTGGCTACTGCTCACCCTTCGACCCCGAATAAACTATTCAGAGGTCCGTGGAAAGAGGTGCCTATGAACAGTTTCTCTAAACCTGTGCCCGGCGAAAAATTACTAATCAGGTCGGTCAAATCTTCAGATTTATGCTAGATAATTGTACATATATATATTTAAATCGCTTTCGAGTTCAATGGCTGGATATTTATAAATGAATAAGTAATAAATATAATAATAAACCAATAGGTTTATGTTTAACCTATGTATGGTCAACCAATAGGTAACAACGACTGATTGTTATTTTTCGAGCGGCTATTTATTTAAAGTGCTATTATATTCCCCTATTGTCCTAATACAAAATAGCTCTTTTCGCGTTTTGCGCAATTACGCCACTGGGAATTTTTTAATTTATTAAAGACAACTCTTTAAATTAGCGTTTATAAGTAATGTTCAAAAATTTTCTACTGATTTACCGTATCCGTCACGTTAGTTTCTACTAACATTTCAATTAAACTTTTAGTTACGTTGTTTAGTCAGTTCGGCGTGCGTATTCTAGCGTCACATTAAAGTATTGCTGATCATTTCCAATAGTAGAGCAAATCTGAGAAATTCGCAGCGGTTCCCAAAGCTGAATATGCCTGGCTTCGTTACGAAGTGGCGAAGAAGAAGCTCTTCTCAAAAATCTACGGGATCTACCGACGAAAAAAAACAGGAAAAATTGTGAGTGTTACAAAGACCGTTTTATTCGGTCTTCTAAGCGTGCTACGATTCGACGATAGCATACAATCGTTCACAATGGCTACCGCTGTTTTATTTAATCACAATCGTTGTTTCGTACATGTGGTTTAAGCCAGGGAATCGTAAACAAAGATAACAACGAAAATAGCGTTTTTATTCATTCATATTGCCTATGTAAGAGAGCCTTAAATGAGAGACCCTCAAAAAGAACAGTTTGTTTTTGCACAATGATTTATACAACTAAGGCCCAACGCGTCCGTGTTTTTTTAGAGCGCAACCTGTATTAATGAGGAGCTGCTGTTCGAACCTACGCGTGATGATGGCTGAATCTCAGGTACCTGGACTTAGCTCGATGTTACGAGGCCGTTCGAAGTGTCGTGTCGGAACATGGGCACTCAGTAAGTCGAAGTTAACTCTCGTTAGTTTTCTGCACAAACTGCTATGGTGTGTTATGGTTTACATACGTCTCACTCGTAACATTGTCCTTTTATCAGAGTTGTTAAAGGTAAGCTAGATGTATTTGTTTCATTATTGCGTTAATTTTAGTGTGCTGCTATCTATGACCTGTAAATCATTGTAAATATTAGATACATCAAACCTAACAGACATAGCGTGGCCATTTCTATATTTTTCGAGTTTTTCGTTTAGTATCGCTGTTAAGCATACCATTAGGCAGCTGACTCCCAGCATGATACAAAGCCGCGTTTGAACCTAAGCCACAAAGTATCGCCAAGATTAGTTAGCAAATACGTTATCCAGGAAGTTATCACGGGGCCCATTTACCACCTTAATGAAAAGACTGCGTGTTGCCGAATATCATTACGTACGGTAATGTACGGGTGTTTCCTACTGCAGAATGATGAATTAATTTAAGTAATTCAATTATATCTCACTTCAGCTCTGCAGACAAGAAAGGGCCGTGCCTAAACAGAAATCAGTGCAAAAAAGCGCTACCAGGCACTGCCCCTTCTAAAGGTACGTAGCCTGTTAGATGACACCACCCTTCCAGTAATAACGGAACTCCACAATGAGGATCACCAGTCGCGTGGAACTGCGCTTCTTGTAAAGTTCTTGTACAGTACAACGTAACGTTGGGGCTAACGTCCTGTCGAAAAGAGGCTTCTGATTGCTGGTCACGGCCCGCAAAGGTCGATAACAGCAGGGCTCGGTGGCCACAGTCAGCTTACGATCGCATAGTCGACAGCCACCAGGCCTGCGCAGCAATTATCTAGATTTCTTGTGTTTGCGGGAAGTCCCTTAATGAAATGTTGCGCTAATCGACGCTTCTGCATTGTTTATTGTAAGTTCTGCATAGCTGTTTCCAAAAAAATCGCATTTAGACTTCAAACATACGCTCACCAGAGAAAGCAATTTTATGTGTCCCGACTTGCATGCCAGGCTCTATAATCTAGAGTTTGCTTGATAATGTTTACGAAACGTTGCAGGCTTTTGTAGAAGGAAAATAAGTTATTATGACAAAAGGTACCAAAAGAAAACCGTTTTGAGCGATCCATAATGACCGTGGATTGCGAAAAATCCCTCCCGTGTTGTTCAAACCTAAGTGTGTGAGGAAAAAAAACTAAAGCGAGCTGGACTTAGACTACCTTCTGGCCAAACTATGGAGCCGTGAACATTTTTTTTTTTACAATGAAGCACAACGTGCTTCACCGGTAAAACGTCGGTGTATGGTCGACCCACAAATATAGCAAATCACACCAGCTGAAAATCAATAATTTGCCGGATTGCTTAATCATTATGGCTCTCTGCGTAGAAAACATGTTTAGAAATATAGTTTGGGGGTGAAGGTTTGTCTTAAGACCTAAAATATTTTAGTGTACGTTACAGAGCGAAAAATCTGAGATGTTGTCGTGTTTTTTCATCCTGACACAATCGCATAGATTGGTTATAACCGCTAGACTTGGCTTTATATGATACAGGTTTTAATTCCTAGCTCGTCTTTGTGATTAACTGATGATATTAAAGCTAAGATAGATTAAACACGGTTATATATATTCGTGTCTTTATATGACGCTAATTATAGTCCGAAGCGGAATGTTACCCATCATCTTCTTTAGGCTATTCTCATTGATTTCCCATTGCTTCATGGTTTCAGCATACATTGCAATGACCGCGGTGGCACTTCATTTTCTCCGACTTTTGTTCTCAGACTATTTCTCCTATCCAGTATCCGTTTCTATTCGGCTTGAAGACACGTCTGGTCTACTGTTTCCTGCGGTTACGATTTGTAATCTCAATCCTATACGTCGGCATTTGATTTGTGAAAATGCTGATAGCGTCTTATCGATTCCTGAAGAAGTAAAGGACTATATTTGCAATGAAACCTATCGTGAATCCGTGAGTTCTGCATAGAGTTTAGTAATTTATAAAAATAGTGAAAAAAATGGTTAGTTAATTATTCTAAGTGTTAAATCATATATATATTATAGTTAATATATTTGTACCCCAAATGACTGCTTTGTGCTACCAAACAGGAGCCACCAGTTTGGCTACGGTGGATGAAATCTGCAGAATCTATGTTCCATTCAGAAATATATATTATTATATTATATTATTATATTCATTCATTATATTATTCATTATAGTCATATCTATGTCTGACTGCGAGAGCTAACACTGCTTCAGCAAGAGAACTAGACAAATTCTTTTCTACTAAATAATATACACAGCGCTTTGATGGCCGTGCAAAGTGGCCATAGCGATATCAGAACAGAGGAGGTCATCCGAAATGGCCAGCTTTTATCGACAGCATAACAAACATTTCAGTTTTCTTCCCTCGTATTTAATCGTTTTTCTTTACATTTGTGAGCCATAGATCCAGGATGAGAATCTGGATGTGATAGAGCAATTCTCATTCTGGCTAGCTCACAGCCAACGACTCAATAAGGAGGCAGTAAAGGCTTTAGGACACCCGATGAAGAAAAATGTGCGGGCCTGCACGTTACAGGGCAACAAATGCACGAACATCAAGCAGTGAGTTGAGAATTAAAAGGAGACATCATGCATTTTATCTGTTTAATTAAAATTAATATACATTCAGAAAATGCAGGCGTTATGTGTGTACGTAATGCTCATATAAAGTTTAGCTAGATGTGTCATCCAGTTTGTATTGGGCAGTTAACTTATATAATCAATCTAATGCGATTCTGACGATAATTATCATTTTATATAAAAAAAAATATACATTTAAAAATATAGCTAATTTCAAATTCCGTTCTGTGAAAGGATACTTTTTCCTTTATCCTAATTTTATCGAAAATAAGAATATATGGGGGCCGCGGTGGGATTTTGCTCGATCAAGTTAACATTTGGTGTTTTGAACTAGGAAAGCGGTCGATAGATAGGGGAGGAAAGGATGACGGAAAATGGCTTAAAATCTAAATACGCCTAGCGCGTCTGTCCGCAGCTTCTGGGGCAGTCGTCAATTTAAGCCTTTCGCTTGTCCTCACGCAATGTTTATAAGTAAGATAAGCTATCGAATAGAAATACAGAAAAATCGATTGCCAGTAACTTTTATAATATATCGGCGGGTATCCATTGACTAATATGTTCGGGGTTATACGTTCTTAGCTTTTGGTCTGATACATTTAGCCAGTCCTACGGGAACTGCATAACGGCAAACAAACAGGCCCAAAGGACCGGTGATTTCCTCTATTATCGTCTCGGTGGACCGGAACAGGGGCTAGAGCTTATACTTAACGTAGAAAGTAAGTAGGAACAGCTATCTAAAACAATTTGCCTTGTAACTAGCTGACGAACTCTAACGTGTATGTAGAATAAACATTGGCTCCGTATATTTTTTCCAGATAAAATGACAAAAGTTTTAATTTGGGTATTCTCCTCCTCTGGTCGCATGAGACGAAAATTGATGCTTTAGCAATATCATCTGACAAGATCTACCATCTTGCAATGTTATGTTACGGTATTAGCAACTTTTGGTCTTTAAGGGCAATATTTATAAAATGCCATATTCGCTTTTACATGAAGTACGTTTGGCAGTATTTTTTAAAAGCCAGTGTTTTACTCAAAGTTGAACTTTAGAGGCCTTCGCTCTATCTATAGTAGTCAACGTCCATTAGACGTGTTCGTCAAGGCGTGTTTACATTAATTAACTCTCAGTTGAAGGAATGATAATGTATTGGGCTACATCTTTTGCCAAGATTACCGTTAAAACTCTAGCAAAAATTACTTAATTCGGCCAAATTCTGCACAAATCGACTATTTCGTGGCAAGAATTTGCTCAGATTGGACCATTAGTAATTACTACTACTTATTACTAGTATTACTACTAAATACGTTAATTACTAATAACGTTAGTCGATATCAGCGCTTTAATGAGTTTTTCTTTTTCTGTTATTGGTGCTAGTAAATGAGTATCTCCCAATCACCTCGGAAGCAGGTTATCTAGTGATGATTCACTCCCATAACTTGGAACCTGACGATGCAACGGATGGCGTGTTTGTTTCACCAGACGGAACTACCTACATCGGAGTTACCGTGGTAAACACTTATCGACTCGTATTACTGACCGAAATGTCAAAAATATGTTCAGTTTCCCTAGCAGTAGATAGCAGCCATTGTCTGGTGGTTAAAGCTTCGATTTGGGCAAGAGCCCAGATTCACAATCAGTGGTTGAGAAAAGCGGACCAATTTGTTCTTTGTGTCTGCACAGTACAACGCAGGAGCAAAGGATCAATACGACAGACCTTTATCTAGCTGTTCGTGGTTCTTTAACACGCATTGCTTTACAGCGGAAAATCAATCGGCTGGCTACTCCATACCCAGCGCACTGTATTTCGAAATGGTCGAAGGACGCGATCAAACCCGACGACGACAATTCGTACAACCGAGGCGTGAGTACCCGGTCGCTGATTCCAGGTTCTCTATAAAATAGAAAGTATCACGTTAACGATTCGAGTTTTACGACGGGTATTTGTGCCAGAATGTGTCTACGCCCGGATTCAAACCTAGACTGCTAGTTGTCCTCTTTTTTTTGGAAGTGTTGGAGGCAAACACGTCACCAGGTAAAAACTATCACGGGAATAGATGACACTCCATGAGATTGGCTGGCAGAATGTTATATATCGAACCGAGATTACCTTTCTGCAATATATCACCGCCAATAAATTTCCCACCTCAATAGAGTAATCGAACAACCCCTTAAAGGCACGTTCCCAGGTGCCTGCACCTCGTCTTTCTCTCGTTAGATAAGTAGACAAGATTTCAGCAGAACTTTCGAATAGAATTGAATGAACACGATTCGTAAGTGAAGCACGGAGATATGACCAAACGGCCTTTGCCCTTAAAAGATCCTCGGCAGTATGGATGGATCTTTGCGGCTTATTGGTTGCCCTGTGTTGTTTCTAATGTTATTGCAGAATTGCCTCAAGTACTGCCTACAGGATGCTATTTTCTCGAAATGCGACTGCGAAAGTGCACAGCTTCCGGCGCTAAGTAGCGCGAGAAATATATGCAATATCATTGACTATAATGGTAGGTTTATATTGTGAGCTTACGTTACATGACACACTGTAGTGAAGAGAAAGTGTCTTCGTTTTGTTACGCCGAGTTGGCTTCGGATCGTTTGAATCCGTTTGATGGTTTTGTATTTTTGGCCATTAAGCAAAGGAAGGCAGTGAATAGCTTGTCTAATGTTCTTTGAAGTGGACAAGAGCGAACCATATCTGAGATGACCAAAATGGATAAATTGAAATCGAGAATATGACACTGGCGTAACGTAAAGAAAACAAACGAAAGATGGCAAAAAAAAAAGTATGATTTTGTAACAACGATTCCTTACATGTATGTATTGTACTTAGCGAAAGCTTTCAGAAAGTATAAGGAACTATTTTAGTATGAAAAATTAGTCTTCCTAAACAAGTATGGTCAGCTATTCATCCCATACTGTTGAGACCATATGTTGTTTTGGGTGTTTTATTTGGCGGTTCAAGTATTTTTATTTACAAAAAAATACTTACTAGATTAGGTAAATAAGCGAAGTTTTCCAAACATATTGCCAAAAAGGCATTTTTGGAAGCCCGCTTGTACACTATATAGTCATTATTATTAGTATTATCAGTGTTCAAAATAAATAATAAATTACTACTTAGGTAGGCCATATTTAAACAGGACACCTATATCGGGCGACTTGTTAGTTATTTTGTCGTAAGCTGATAAAAGGCTCAAAATAGATGCTGCTATTTGTACAGTTATGTATTCGTTAGTTATTGACAAATAACTAAATGGATCGTATCTATATTATCCTGATTCGCGTCCAGCGGTGAAATTCTGATCTTATAATCTATGCTATGGTTCACAGTCTCAGAGTCAGGTGACGATTATTTTAGCAAACGTATGCTCCTGATCTTCACAATATGTGAAATCAAACACTGCTTTTAGATAATGTTTAACTCATCAACACCGCGTAACTCTACTGATTATGTCAGCTATATGTACAATGGAAAAATGCGCAACAAACTCAGGACAAAAACATGTCTGGCCAGCCGTCTCACCGAGGCCACATATGCACCACCAAACGATGGATTTTCCCGCCCGTTTATGCAAAAACGTTTTTCTCTGCTGCTATTAGTTTAACCGTATTTGTACAAAGGCTAAAAGTGTCTTGCTTACACTTAATAGTGGAGCCTGTACCGCCGTGGTCCTTGCGATCAAACACTGGTGACCTCTTTCGTTCGTATGCTTGCCTATATTATGAGTAAACGAGATCGTAATAGGCTAGAGAACGTCGTTCTCACAAGTAACGCGCAAAAAAACACCAGAGCCAAACAAATGTTGCTTTTCATGCCTTCTTACACTCTATGGCTTACTAGTGGTGGCAACGAACCACCCTACCTAGAACGTGCTTTGCACCTAGTGCCTATTTACTTTTGTCCGTTCGCATAGTCCCTTCTCAGAGCTGGGTACGGTTTTATTGCACTCGAATTCTACACGATATTCGCTATGGGATTTTTCGCGCTACCTGAATGCTAGCTGGTCCCTAACAAACTCGACGTATCGGCTTTTCGATGCGAGCAAGCAGCAACAATCTTCAAATATCAGCAGGTGACCGACAACAACGGTGGCAGCTTGTCTCTTTCTATATATATATCCCCCCAAATCATTCAACGTGGAAACGCCAGCTATTTCAAGGGGCAAATATTTCATTTTGACTATCTTGATTACTATAACGACTGGTTCAAAAATCACCCCTAAGGGATTGGCTGTGCGTGTGTGTTATTATGAACGATAACATCCTGGTGAGCGTACGCCAGCAAGAAGCCGCCCCGTGCTCCGGCGAACTGTCGTAACCTGAAAAGAGCAGTCGTCGCAGTAACTCATATATCGAATGATAGCTGCAACGATATTGCGAGGTATAAAGGTGTACCTTCAGCCTAAGCAAAAGACTGGGCAGGCCGAACATTTCAATGTCGCCAATTGTGATGGCTGCGTGTGTTTAGATGTTCCTGTGTGCATAGATCTGGGTTAAGTTCCGCATAGGTTTTATCGAATCAATCCTCCTCTATGCCTACGTTAATTGCGTCTCTTCTCTATCTTCAGGTTCCTAGACTCGTACCAGTGAAGAAACATGCTCGAGTGTTGTGTCAACATCATCCTGGTGATATTGTTATGGAAGCATAAAAAAAAAACAAAAAACGGCCTTGCTTCTGTAGATGCCGCCTAAAGATCTTCGCAGAATTTAAACAAAATTCAAATTTGGTACAGTCAAGATGGTGTCATATAAAAACGAATAATTCAACAGTTATGCTTGCCTTACATTGTCACGATATTGTGAAGCTTGTACATTGAATAGCGCTGCACTACTGAACTGCAAAGAGTAGGAAGACGTAACAGCAATTATGGCACGGACTCCGTATCTAACAAAATAAGCACAAGGTCCTCTTAAATAACTGCCGACACGCTCAATTTAGGCTGGCTGATATTACTCCATATAGCTAGTCGAATAAGGCATATATTTGGTAATCCATCTGGCCATATGTATATATAGAGGTGATCTTTTTTTTTTGTTTTTTGAAAGCTTGAAAGCTGGTGTCGATAGTCGTCGTTTCAAGAATTGTTGGTAACATGCCCAATTTGCAAGCGCGTACGAAAGTCCTAGTACGTGTACAGTCGCGTTTTTCTACCTGTTATAGCTCGCCATATCTGATCTGCTCCTACAGAAAAACACAGTTTCTGTCTAAGCTATTCGGGTCTGAATTCCTGCTGTACTCCTTCGACTCGTTGTTTTTCCCGTGCAAAATCGTCCTCTCGCTGAGTAGCCTGTTTACCAGCATGACCATGCTTTTGTCGCTCTTTTAGCGATTGGCTTCCATAAGGTCGTATGTTCTCGTATGACCATGCGCCGAGCTCGAATCGCAATTTCCTTCTCATTTGTTTATCAGGAAGTTTATATTTTCCTTCAGCGACTACGATAAATGAGTCGTTTTTGTATATCCGATCTGAAGAATACTATTCGTACAGACAACAAGGTATAGGATATCCCGCCTACGCGGTATTTCAGATCAGCTGAAAAGTGCTCCTTTGACGTATTCCCGCCATCCGAATCTGTACGCTGACTGTACGAAGTACCCTTGCATTGAGGCATAGCCGTGAAGATCGCGTTGATCTTATTTTCAGGGCCGAGAAGAAACGTACCGCTGCAAAACGTCGTACAGCTTGCCTGTTTTTAGCTATTGCGATCATGCTTATCGTATGTACACTCCCACGAATGATAATGTAGAGTATGCTGACCGCTAAATTCGATACTCCCTACGCATTTTTTGTGACGATTAGCATTTCCTTTTGAGACATATTGTCGACGCTAAACGAAGCAGGCGGCTTCTACTTGTATTGTATGCGTTCTTCTGCTGTAAGAGGTCTTCATGATATCGATAGAACGAATTCCAGAACCGATCTGTAGCGTTTTAGTAGACGTCGTTTAAGAGGGAATAGTCAAGCAACTAACAGCTACGGTGAGCTCTAGATTATGCATTTTTGCAGTCATATGTAAATATATTATTAAAGTTATACCAAGATAGCTGTTAACAATACGAAATGTGTCGCTTGCAAACGAACCCAAAGTGGTTCAAGCTCGGGATGAAGGTTCAAAAAAAAGCTTTCGTATTACTCTTTTTTATTCGACACTTAGTTTTGAGAAAGTGCTCTTTTTGATTTATTATTGTGCTGAAACAGTACTATAATGAGAATGCAATTTCAGCTCAAAAGAACTTTTAAAAAGTTGATGTTCCAGACGAAAAACAAGAAACTCTTAACACATTTTGTATTATGAGGACAACACTGAGGCTGCTGAAACGGCTTATGAGTAAAAAGACTACTCAAGAGTAGTTTGCTAGGTTTTAAAACGCTCGATATGAACCAGAGAGAGGAACACGGGGCCTCAGGAGGGTCAAGGCCAAGAGTCGAAGCAGATTTTCATTTGAAAAGAGGGTTATGCGTTGCGTTTGATGGGACTTTGAGGCTTGATTCACTGGGAATTACCTCTTGCGAACCAAACAATTCATCGGCACGTTTATTTTGGTCTTCGAAACCACATTGGATCAACCAGGCTATTTAAGAAAAAAAAACTCAACAAAAAAGCTCAGGGGATAACGCGAGGCCACATACAGCAAGCATCGTGAAATCTGCCCAACTAAATCTCAAATGGGAAGGTTGGTTCTACCTTCCGTATTCCCAAAACTTCACTGAAAATTAGACCGTCTGATGTGGAACTTTGAAAGCGATTCGTGGTTTCGCTGCATATTTAAGGTCCACTGTGATAAACTACTTCCAATAGATTCCAATAGAAGTCCACTATATTGGATAGGACCACTATGTTGGACGTTAAGGATACTAACTTCGCAATAACTTCTGTTTGCCTTTTTTTTTCCGACTGCATATCTGTATAGCACAATGTATTTCATCATTTAAAAAACAGTACTGGCAAAATCCACAAAGGGTTTTTGTAGAAACCGTAACACTTTGCTTAAAATATTGACACAACTTTGATCGAACCTTGACGTTCTCTTCTGTGACGGAAATCAGAAAAACCTGATGCGTGCATCTTCTGCGCATCTATGTGCTCTACGTGGTTACTATTTGTTTTACGCTTTGAAATTTCACGTGTCATAATCGATGATCAGCACCCATTTCCAGTTTTGCCGCAGTCATCCGTCCGTTTCTGTGGAGGATGAAAAAAGCAGTCTGACACATTAAATTTTACTAGTAATACCACCATCTCATAGACAGTATCAGGTGATTGTGTCGTCTACCGTTCAGTTTATGATTACGCCTTAATAGGTATGATAGGTCAAAGCATGCATATCTAATTAGTTTGTCACGAAGAAAAAAAATCACGGTGATTTGATTCTGCTCAACGTCACAGAAACGGCCGTATGTATCGAGGAGGTTCGTGCGAGCCAGGAACAAGGAAACCTTCAGGAACTCTGTGCCTGTCCGCAGTCCTGCGAGTGAGACAACCTTTGCTGCTTATTACTTAAGATAGGCTTATGTAAGATAGCATACAAAGCCCCAGGGTTAACGTTCAGCCTAATCAAGTACGTTGCGAGATGAAATAGCCCCTGCAAGCTAATGCTAATTACTTTATAATATAGAGCTCATCTATGCATTGAAGAAAGCAAGATGGCTTGTATAAACAACGTTCCATTATTTATTCAGCTATTAGCTATTAAAGTGCGCGCCGTTTTAGAATAAACCATTATACAAACAACGTTCTCGAGTTGGTTTCTCTTTTTTTTTCTTTTTCTTTTTTTTATTGTTCAGTCCATGATAACCTTTAACGCCTTCGACTTGTTCTAATTGTAATGAATTTGTTCACGTATTACAAGGCTTCTTCAAAGTAAAGGTTGAAAATTGTTTACTATATTATAGATTGGCTCTGCTGGGAGATTGTACGTCTCAAGCACCGCATCAATATCTAATATGGAACGAACCACGGTTTGTTTATACGTAAATAAAAGAAAAAAAACTGTTAGTTAGGGTGACATGGCAATTGATTGATTTTAATGAAGGGTTTCGACTATTTACAATTAAATTAAACGAATGCGTATCACAGTGGTAAAACTTAGCACGCTAAAAATCTAGCGAAGTTTGCTTCTTTGAGGAAAAACGTACCTCACGAACAAAAGTGTTCCCTTATTTTATTGGTCTCTATAGGATTAATGACTCAGGTTCAAAAGGCAGGACAACATCACAACGAAGCCAATACTGAAATCATGAAATCCTACATTACAGAGAGTTGCATTACGAGACAACAACGTCGACGGCGCATTGGGCGAAGGACACTCAGGTACAAAAGATGACCTGTTCGACTTTCTTTGATTTGATCCTAAGTGCAACCTTTCTGGTACTATTCGACTGGTCCAGTTATCTAAATCCCATGTCAACGTTCTATTTTGCCGTTTGACGAAAAAGGTGAAAACACCCATTCTATAAATATGATTTAATAATACTCCATACGTTTTAGTTTCGCAATTCAGGGAGAGCAAAAATCGCACACCTTTTCTTGTTATTTCGTAAAACTTCATTGAAAAATAAAGCCACAAGTACACTATACAGAATTATATGAAAAAACACCGCCCTTTATTTTATTTAATCCCACATAAATTTGCGCAACAAACTATTCAAGAATCAAACTATCATGAGCAGCATCTGATTAAACATGCAGTCGGCGTGTTTATTTATTATCAGCAGTCATTGTTTCAGCCTGAATCGCGCAGAGGGGTTGCTTGGTTAAAGAAACTGGCAATCCTAATTCACGTAAGAAACGTTTTGATGCCGATACTTAGTCTTGACTTGTCATATATAACTGTGAGGTATCACTGCGGGAGGACTCGGTAACAATATGTCATAATAACCAGTTTTTAACGCTGAACTACTGATAGCCACATGCCCATGGTGATGGCACTTAAAAAGATCCACGTCAGCCATCCAGAACCGAATTGCTATATTTTTTCAGAGCGTACGATCGAAAACATTTTTGCTTGCGAAGGAAATGCGTAGAGGAAATCCACTCCGGTCCATGTCACGATCTCACTATGAGACTGAGAGATTTGCTTTTCGTTCGTTACAAAATGCTGATTCGAGCGATTGACCATTTAAGCGAAATGACAGAAATTTATAAACGATTAGAACTAAGGCGTTCCTCTAAACGCGTACAACAGCTCGCGTTTCGTATAGACGTAATTTCGTCATTGTGGCTTGCTTACTAAGCTTTGGAACACCGTTTAAGCAGGAAAAATATGAAACAGTTGAAAAATGATTTGAGAAAATGCTTAGGGGCCTCTATTTGATCAGGTGGGGTCAACGACCACGACCACGACAATGACGGCGAAACCTGGACCTTCTTCGAACAAAGCATCTACCTCGTCCGAGTTCCAACGCCTCGTCACATCGAAGCACTCGTCGGCTCAAAAAGAGACCCGTGTTAAGATAATCATCTATCTCCAAAGTCTTATTATAGAGACTATAAACCAAGTTCCCCAATACAATGTTAGTATATCTAGATACAACGCTTAACGCTGCAACATTTATTTCGCAATTCGTCGCACCAACAACAAACGGTACCTGCGCCGTTCAACTGCAAAGCTAACGCACCAAGGTGGTATAGGGTAGAGAACACAACTTGCGAACAAGATCTTCAGACAGTATCAGTGATCGGCTGCGGGACCACAATAAATTAGAGCGTTCAGAATAAAACATACCTCTTTTAGCGTTTACCGGGGTGACGTTTAATCGTCAATAATGCATATAAACGATTTGATGCAAAATCTACCCCCCATTGTTGCTTAGATTAAGTACAAATGATTCTGATGCGGATTCTTTTCATGACTAGAGGGCACATTCGAGCATGGGGTCGTTATACTAGATTGCAGAACAAGAGCTTCTATTTATCCAGATCTAGATTCTGATGATTTTGCAACACAGTTCTTGAGTTGCTATCGTGTAAACTTGAAGTTGCGTATGTTACATTATTCAGTTTTCTATGGTTTACCATTAAGTAGACAATGTTTCACTACAAAGCTCATTTACGTAATTTTCAGTGTTCCTAAATCAATATGAAGTACCCGAACTTAGTTAGTAAACATCGCAACTGCAAAAGGCTCACACACATCTTACTAACTCAAGAGATGGATCTAGACGCACGCACATTCAATGCCACTTTAATTTCTGTTTCCTCGATTTGATGATGGGGATCTGCGTACTTGCATGTTGTTCATCTACTGTTCATTTTTTAAATTGAAAACTATTGAATTAGCCAGGCTAGAATGGTGATTTTTTAGTATGCATCACGGCTACTACTTTTTTTTTTTAGCTTTACGTGCTTGTTCCAATCTCTAGTAGTTTCTGAACAGCTACATACCAAACACTAGTGTTTCCGTGCGTAATATATGATTTTTCTATGAAATAAATTGATCGTGGTATGTGCCTGCCCACTGGTTGTCCTCGTTAAGCCATAAAAAGTCCCCTAGCTACACCGATATAGATTGGAAAAATAAACGCATCAAGTATATCTTTATTCGGTCCACGGAGTGACTCAAATGCGATGAAGTCTGGCGTCGTCATTGGGTAATCAAATTATACACCTTTGGTCCGTGAATTTCTTGAGGAACTCGGATAGCAGGCTGCATTCATTCTTTTGTTTTCGGCGGGTTTTTCATACTGGCAAATCCCGCTAATATCCACCGTAAGTATTGGCATAACCTTACATCCGAATCTACTCGAGCTCTCCCCAGGACGACCCTATTTTCTTGCCGGGTCTGATTGAACCATGCCTTGCCTATGACGACCGTATGCTCTAGACGATAGTTTTTTCAGCTAAAGCTCACCGCACACATTTTCAACTGGCCTGAAGTCAATTCACGGAGAACTCACTGTTACTCCGTCTGCGTATTTTTTTATTTAACAATTTTACAATTGTTTTTACAACGGAGGGCCGACAGGGCCTTTAAGCTTTGCCTTCGTGAAAAATCTCCCTAGTCAAGCAATGCGTTCTAGTCCTTCATTCAGGTCTCGACATCCGGCTGCCTTCCCGCTGGCCTGCGGCATTCGGACCTTCGTTTTTGGACGCTTGCACCATCAACATTCTATACGTACGCCTAATGGCCTCCTTAATCTTCGATGATCTTCCGCATCCTTGTGATCTTCGAATAACAAACTTGACGACTGAGCGTTGACTTTCAAGACTAAATCACGTTTTTTCTCCGCACTCATTTTTCCTTTAGAAAAATCCACCGAGCTTCGCTCACAGGTTTTTAGAATACTAGGGCATTTACCATCCTAATTCCGTCTGCTGACAGTACGCAATTAAAAAATTATTCGTTCTGAAAGTCCGCCGGATTCGCTTGTGACAGCCTGTTTACGTATATCTCTCCGTATCTGTTCCCGGTACCAATATCAGCCTGCAGGTCTCATATCGAATATGGGCGGAATTGTTGGCGTGTACCTCTCCTTCGGATTTCTTGTCATCTATGAAATTGTGGAAATCTTCTTTCGAGCCATGTACGTCGCCGTAGATTTCAAAGTAAGCCTAACCTTGAAAGGACCCCCATATACTCTTAGAGATTAGGGACGTTTAGAATGAACTTATAACGAGATAACTTGTACAACATACAGCTTATATTATAGTACAACAATATGATATTTTGGGCCGACTTCATCCACTTGGAGTAATCCAATTAACCCTTAACTGACATGTGTATCAATCAACCTGTACAAATATTTTCTCATCGTACTAATTATTATTGAATGGTCATTATTATTATTATTAAAGATATCCTCAGTGAGCCCGAACGCTTTATATGCGTTTAGATATATTGAAGGCTGAAGATCACCGAGACGAAATACAATCGATGTCACAGTTATGATAAACCGCTATCTATCTAAACGTAAGAGTAATCTATTTACGTATTTTTTCTTGATTTGGCATACTTCATAGTTCTGGAATTTTTCAACTGTTTAATGCTGCTTATAAGGTACTATTGAGATTCACGACCAACAAAAACAGGGCGACGTTACAGGCATGTCACAACAAATACTAAGCTGAGAGCGCTCAACGCCATTTCTGAAACATTAAAAGAAAAAAAAATATGGCTAACCTCATGATTTTCATAGTATAGTTTACTGTAAGGTGTAATGCTTTTATCTAGAAAAGCATTATACTTTATAGTACATTGTACTATGAGAAACATTCATGTATCCGACCGTATTGAAATAGACAATAGGACCTTAACTGTAGCGTCCGTTTGTAACATAGCTCAGGCTCCCATGGATTTTCTTGGACATGTGATGACTATTTTGTACGCGGACTGTTACCAAGGTCATTACAATTTCGATGATCAAGTTTATGGTTGAGCTTGTTAAAATTTATTAAATAATTACAGGTTCTTGGAAAACGATTTCACCAGAAGGCCAAACACGTTCAATCGAGTGCGTTGACCAGAGCGATTGAAGCAAAAAGGCGTCTTAAATTTAAAGCCCGCAATCGGACGATTGACGCGCAGCCCAAGTACTTCAATGTCGAACGCCGCGAGTCTCATCCGCCATATCGGCTCACCGTAGGTAGTACTAATACACTGATGCAAGGCGGGCAGCGTCCATAGTACGATTTCTATGCAAATAAGGAAAATAGTTTTTTACTAACGTATCGAACGGCGAGCCCGAACTCGTGTGTTGGACTGAAACGCACTCGATAAGCCTACTATATCAAAAAAAAAAAAAAAAGCTTTCATTATGAGTAAATAATTAGCTTGTTTTTATGCTGTAGGTTCTATACCAGTACGTCAGTACTACTGTATATTAAACCCGCCTTGCATTAGCTGGGTATATGAATTTTACATACGGGGTGAAATAGCTATACAAAAATAGCATCTAGTGGGGAGTGATGTCACAACTAGTGGGGTAGACGATCTGACCTGGTCAACACACAATACCATTGTGTATGATCGTGAATTGTAACGTTCGAGTCATTTAGTGCCCAGACCGTGTACCCACTGAGTTTTGCATATCTATCCTAATTTGTCATTGATTTTTTCCTTTGTCAGGTGTGGGACTATCCGAATCGTCGACAGCGGCCACGTGACAAGAATGAGGTGGCCGCTATCCATCAGGCGCCGCAGTTACACGTTGACCTGCAGAACTATATTCGAATGAGCGATGCGTTCGGGAGGTACGCTAGGAACTTGTCAGCTAGGGAATGTATTTGTCACATTGTATCGATGATAGATATCATTCAACTTCTGGCAGCTGATATAAAAAAAAACTATCTTAGTTTCTTAAAATTCAAAAGCTATGATATTCCATATGACAACTGCCTGGATTAGATCGAGTGACCGTAGTATCGCATGACCTGAAGTTCTTTTTGGATAACACTTTAGGATGTATATCATCTTCTTAGAACATGGCCAATCTAATTAGGAAATTTCTGTCTACCTAGTAAATTGTCTATTGCAATTTCAGGTACCATCGGCGTGATAAGCCCAAAGAAGTTATCCACCAGTGAGGGCTTTTAGCTGTCAGCTAGTTTTCTAAATTAACCGTGTGACAAGCGAGGACCTTCAAAATCGCCTGTACAAATGCCTTCATCAAATCGCGTTTGTACATTAATCACATATATTGCCGTGTAGATAATTAAACATTTCGAATAGATAATTATTTATTTTTTCCGTTCCTTTTGTAAAAAAATCATATAGTTACCCGTTCACTGATAAGGACGGAAGGTACGAGTAAGCGTTTAATGCTGTCATAGAAACGTCTCCTCTTTCGTAACAGCTAGTAAAGGATAGCAGTAGTAACATATTCCAAATCGATTAAATTTACAAGGTCGACGTTTCGTTTAATGAAAAAAATATGCAAACAGAAGACGTTTTCTTAGGAACTATCGGAGCTTGACAGTTTCCGCAAAATCTATCGAGTGTTCTTGATTCAAGGTGTTCGTTGCAGCCTATGTCAAGGTCTCCGTAAATTAACGCATAATCAATTATTGAAGGTATTGCTAGACTCACTTGAGTCAATACAAAGCATTGGAATATCTGAGACCTTTTTCCCATCCAAATAGTAAGCTGCGAAACACTGGAAGCAAATAAGATCGGATGCTCTGGACTTTTTCAGCAGTGAACGAATAGGGGCCGTACTCTAAGGACTGCATAATTGTCGGTGACTACCGGCCACTGTATTTACATAGCCATGATTCTTAAGCAATACCCTAGAGCATTCACTAGGCAAAACACCAAAATAGCCAATAGAAACCCTTAAAATTCTTTTCATAGAGCTATGTGATCCGAGTCGAAGCTCTACAAGTTTGTTTTTGAGCGGATTTATGAACAAGCCGTTTCCGTTGATGTTCGTTCTAAATTAGGTACAAGCCGGCCGGCGTTATAACCGGCTCTGGTTAGAAAGCTTCGCGCTATGCGTATCGTTGCCCTGTTGCTTGCCCTGCCGGCGATCCACCAGGCCTTTTGATCTCCAATAATATCTGTCATGAGAAACTGTCAGGTATTTTCAAGACGAAAAGAAGTTTCACGATGCATCCGTCCGGAGATGCCACACGAATGTGTCCGCTATGTTCTACTGAGTGAATACTCCCAACCAACGCCAGTGGCACATCTTAGAAGCAATATTTTGTATTTTACTTTATACTGTTGTCAGTTGTCAAACACATTTTGATATTTGAAAAATGCTCGTCCTAATAAAATCATCTCGTTCTAGTATGATCCTGAATTATATAGAAATTTATGCGGAATTGTATGAATGAGCAACTCGTCTTTTCTGCTTACATTTCACGTTCGTCTGCCAAGTAGTCGTTTGTACGAGACCACCTAGATGTTGGACACTGTTATCAAAAAGATTTTGTCTTTTTTGAACGATTATTAAGTTTGTAGCCACTGAACGACGTCGCTGCTCCCCTATATCCTAGTTGATTTATGTCCCTATGAAGATTTTCTTTGACTAGGAATAATCCCTTTGATCCAAGCTGCTGTTATAAATTTCCGACGCTTTTTACAGCTGGTTATATCGGACTACCAGTTTTGAGTTATTCAATCCGCACTCGAGTCGTCCTCGTCAGTGCATCCCGCTTTCTCTCATACAGATTGAGATCCGTGCTCACACAAATCCTTCTAGAGTATTCTATTCAGGAGACAGAGCCAATGCGTCACGTGTTTGACTCCAGGCAAGGAAGGACAAAGAGTCGCGAGCTGCATAATAATTTAGCCGCCGAAAACATTGGCTGGGGAAGTCACAATTCAGGTGCCGGTCAGGCAGAAAAAATTGTTCAGCCACAGAAATAGGCCACGTTTAAATAAACGAAAAAAAAAACATTCTACTAAAATAATGACTGTTTAAGACTGACAGTTCGTATTGCTTACGTCGTTGTTTTCTCCAACTGAATTACGCGTCACAACAATCACCCTCGTTGGGGTAACAAATGATACCTTAGTTTTTAGCCTACATGCTTGACCGCTACTCGATTTTAACAGCGCACATACGTTTCTATCCTAACTTGCGCATGATCTTAGTAATGGCGGCCCTGTACGTACAGCTCAATAGCGTGCAAGGTGCGTCGACTCTTTTTTGCATATGAACTAGCATCACTCAGTGTGTTGATATAATGAACATATTTTACTCTGTTTCTGGTCTTGGGTCGGTATTTGTCTCAATATTATCTCAATGAAAAGCTATGCGCTAAGCTATGAAATCACGGAGCTACGGAATAATTTTAAGCAAAACATCCGAATGTGTCAGATAGTTTGTCCGTACAAGTGGATGCGCAAGTATTGATACAATTTGGGTGCAATCTGGGTCAATGAGAGCATCATTAGAGGCGTGCTACAATCCAGGGGTTGGCTTCAACGTACACTTCATACAAAACGATGTCCATTATTTGGCTGACGTTCTGTCCGAAACGCCTTACCAATTTCGGCGTTCGGGCCTCTTTGGACACTACTCGACCTCGATATAGGGTATGTGATGTACACCTCTATATGTAAAAGGGTTTCGACCACTTGAAACGCTTGTGCCTATCTGTGTAAACTCTTCATCTTTAAGAATTAATCATTGATGCTTCGTACGTCGTTCAGACAAAATGAATCACGCATGTGTATCATATCAAATAATAATAGGTCGTTAAGCTGTCATAAGCCTACAGAGTCAAATTTGTTTAAGTTAAATACATTTTATTATTTTAGTGTGTCTGCATTGAATTATTAGGCCATCCCTTGTCCATATATATATATATATATATATATATATATATCACACACAACAAATTAATTCTTCTAAAACCGAAATAAAAGGAACCATTTTTATGGCATAATCGGTACCTTTATTTTCGGGCTATATGTGTCGGGTGGGAATGAATCAACGCTGTACCCATTTGTTGAATTTGCGGCAGGCGCTTGTGGCTAGTTGGTAATCGATAGAACACAAAAGTCATTACAAATGCAGTTGGCTAGCTTATCTTAAGAGAAACTGAAACGTTTTTTAGTACCAAATAGTTTAGTAGGCACGATTTGCTTTTTTTGTTTTGGGTAATTCTCATAATTTGACAGTGTGATGATACAAAACCAATCAATGAGCGAAAGTACACTCAACCGTTGATTATGCGTGTTCTTCCTAGATACAATGCTGTACATGCAGTACAACAAAGCGTAGGGGGCGCTAGTGCGGGAAGAACGAGTCCTTAAGAAACAGCAGTAAGTGGTGAAGTTAAATACTACTCCTTACGTTGCGAAATAAATGATCCTAAACCTGTGTAATATTAATTTAATTCTAAATGTACAGAATGAAGCAGTCAAATTCAAATGAACTTCAATGCGGATTACGTGTCGAAGTGGCCATGTGCTTAGTTACTATTTTTGACATTAGCAGGAAGTTAGAATATAATAATAAGCAAGCTCATCACAAAGAAGGACTTTGTGTTGTTTCTGCAATCTGCGCAAAGGTCAACTATAGTCTTGTGTGTTCACGTAGAATGAACCCTCACCGAAATTATAAAGTTTGCTTGTCCGAAATGTACGTCATTGCCAATTTTCATGCGACTTGTGAAGAATTCAAGAAAGATTTCCAGAAGGCAAATCGGAAGATCTTCGATAAGCTTTACATTTAAGGCGTTCGACGACCCGAAACGCTATTTTTGATTAACCTGGATTTTTTCTTATACAGAAACTAGAAGAACTAGAAGAGAAACTAGAAAACTAAGTGTCAGAATATTATTTGCCAGTTGAATGCTTAGATAAGGTCTTAGTTCTTTCTGAAACTTTCTGCGCCTTTTTGCATGTTTTCTAATTTTCTTTTCTGAACCCGTACTTTGGGACTTTCGTTTGCTACTAGCCCAAAATTAAATGTTTTTTTTCATAGTTCAGTGACAGGTTAGTAAGTTTACACCTATTAAAATTGTTCTGCTTACAATTACTGCTAGTAACGAAGGGCTGAAAAAATGATCAGCGACTGGTGTAGATTTTAAATTGAAGATGTAATCGCGGTGAACGGTACTTATATATTATAAACGTAACGGTCAGGGATGACAATGATTCGTTGAATTATGCACTTTCATTTAGATAAAGTTACAAAACAGTTGAAAAGAAAAGCTCCATATTTAGATTCCCTGCCCTGTATAGGTGACTGCTATAACTTATCTATATTATCGTTGAAGTCTTCATTAGCACACAACTATTCCAATTACAATTAGTAATTAAAATAATTTTATAATAAACAATAAATATGTAATGAAGGAACTAAATATAAAAGCTGCGAAGCAACACTGTCCAAAATGTGGGAACGGTTTATATTACAAGCTGGTTTGAATTGTTTTAATAGCTTCCGCACGTTTTGCCCGATGAGGCCGTCACACTTCATAACCGGCAGTAAATTAAGTTCCTGTATACTGTAAGGTAAAACTTTTTGACAAAAGGGAGTATTAGAAAACAAGGCAAGGAAAGTATTTGTAATGATAAATATAAAATAAAGCTCTAAGCTCATAAAATTCCATAAGCATAAAAGTAACATTTCTACAAAACCTCAGTTAACTTGAAGGTGTACTAGTTGAACTTATATATTCCATTTGTTATTTATTGAGTTGCCTGTACATAACTAACATATATCCTGCACGTCAGTGCCTTACGGTTGAATAGAACAAATTCGACCCTACATTGATGCGCTCATTCTATAGTATAAGTTACGAAGCAGCAATTTGCAACGGCATACCGGAAATGAAAAAAATATTTTTCCATAATTCACCATAGATGTTCGGAGCCACTTAGATCTGTTACTTTCAAAATGACAAGTAACATTCCGTGATTTTCAGTCCATCCATTCCAAGCTCATCGATGTCTTCCACACGAACTAAACAAGCTATTTGTTGCTATCTCAAAGCTTCTTCACTGCTAACAAGCGAGGCAATCTTCTGCTCGGCCCTGAACTGCAGAGCCAACGATCAGCAATCGTTAAATTCCTGATTTCATCGCTTCCGCTGACGTCAGGAAATGTCCATTCTGTCTCTTATTG